ATATGTGCGTTTCCTGTAAACACATACTAGTGTTTAACTTCCCAACTTCTTTCCTTTTTACGCTACAATCTAATATTGGAAGTCCCCCTTCCTGACTTTCCAATTCATAAGTGAATTGAATTGCCTCCACCTTTGAGTTAATGTGTTCGAAAAATCTGTCTATATCCTGTGTTATAATTACAGTGAATGAGTCATCTACATACCTCTACCATACTTTCAGGGTGGAGCTGAACGTTTTAATCGCTATGTTTTCCCACCTATCCATGAATATATCTGCTACAACCGTGGATATTGGTGACCCCATGGCAACTCCCTCAGTTTGTTTGTATATTTTCCCCTGAAATTTAAATACTGTGGAAGTTAAGCATAGTTGCACTCGCAGGATTATGTAGTGGTTTCAACTGATTTGACTCTATCGGCTAAGTCCAAATGAGTACACCACTGATAAGCACGGCCTCAAATGAGGGAAACTGCCATGCAGTCCTAGGATCATTTCGATTACCTGGCTTGCTAGCAAGCACTACTGGATGGTGTGGGTGGCATGCAACTACTCATCTAAATTAATCAGTTGCAAATATTTTTATGCACTTACACTTGCTTTCTGGACCACCATTTAGAGTAACAAGCAGATCAAATGTTATAGTGTGAATGATTTCCGTTTCCAAAGAAAATCGTGGTAAAATAGTCACCTCGAACTGCGTATATCACTGTGGTGAGAGCTGCCTGCCAGCCAAATCGGTAGACAGAAATTTACGTCAATGTTTACTTCCCGAATCGTGGTCATGAGAAAGAAACAAGAACAGAGCCTAACCTTGAGGAGCCCAACAACCAATCACAGAAGACTCATCGTGGGCGTATACGATTAGCAGATATATGTTCTGACCTTCAAATAAACAGCAACAAAGAGATGACGGAATAACCTTCGGCAGGAAAACAACCAATCAGAAGACGTTACCTCTCTGTTAATAATCGCGAATAATAATGTGCATAAAAATGTATAAATACCTGTTGATTTTCTCAATAAACGATCTGTTGACTGGCCCTTGTCTTCCATCGTTACATTGCGAGTCAATTTTTGAATCGTTAATGTGATTTAAGTTACACGCAAAAATCTGTGTCTCAAATGAGTAACAAAGTGTACACAACTCATTGGTTTGAAAAACAAAGAACATTTGAGGCATTTAGCTGGAAGGCTAACATTTAACTGTCACCCATCTTCACAGCTAACAGTTCACTTCTAGAGTACATTATTCATTCTGATAATGCAGCATCAGATGAGATTTCACTCAGAGTCATAGATAAAGTATGACCAAGCCTTTCGAAACGATTTCGACTACATCGCATTCATACAGATAAGAGCTTTAGCGATCCTGTACTCTGTGTTCAAAACACTTTATCTAGTTCTTTTTACTACTATGGACATTGGTGTTAACTTGGTTTTCCTGAGTGGTTATTTCCAAAATAATGTACTCTGTGTAGTCTTTTTCCTCCTTTATAACCCCATTTCAATCCCTAGTTCTCTTGTTTCCTGACAAATATAATTTATAAACGAATACTCATTATTTGTCAATGTTCTCGATTACGTAAGATTATTGGTTATTTGCAATTAGTTGTGTTCTCTGAGAGCTGGTTGTTTTAATTGCGAAGCCTTCATCGTCCCCCTTTTGGACAACATCTTCAGCGCAAGTATTAGCATAAAATGAACTAATTTAAATTCTTGATGAATGATATAACTGTCTCCTGACAACCATCTTTGTGACTGGTAGTCAATTTACATCTGTATTAATCATTTTTTATTGGCTTGGATTTTGAACTTCCTTGAGTTCAAACACACTGTAGCACTACTCCAGTGTTGAAGAGAATGGAGGAAAAATACCCACTAACCGTCACAACACCAACACGAAACCATCATCAAATACTACAAGAAAATGCATAATTTTACCACATATTAAAAGAATATCTCTGAAATAACAGCTATAAAATCGAAACCGTTTGAAATAGATATAGCACACAAGCCAGCTAGCCAGCACAATCACCTCATTCGATATTGTCCAAACTGAAAGACCAATCCAACAGAAAAAGAAGATAAAATTAGTACCATTTACAAAATAAATTCCATGTATGAACTACAATAAACATTACATCGGACAAAGTGGGCGTCTCCTTCGAATCCGAATCCAAGAACATAAATTAGCAGTAAAAAGAAACGATATGTATTCCTGTTTCGTATCAATGAATGTAGACATCCACGGACACCAATTTGATTGGAAGAATGTCGAGATTTTAAAAAGAGGAAACACCAAAAATACAGTCAGGGAATTCCTAGAAGCCTGGTCCTCAAGTGAATCAGCCAGCGATTAACAAACACACATTATTATAGATCAAATTTACCAACACATAGAAGATAAAAATAATTCAAATTCCAAGTTAGTCAATAAAAACAATCAATAGAGGCGTAAATCAACAACCAGTCACAACAGTAGTTGTCAGTAGGGAGATACAATTATATCATCATTCATGGAGAATTCAAATGAGTTTATTTAATGCCAAAATTTGAGCTGAAGCTGTGTTGTCCAGATGGCGGACGACGAAAGCTTTGCAATTAAATCAACCAGTCAGCTCAGAAAACACAACTAATTAAAAATCATCCACCTGAGCTACAAATCTTCTCTATTATTATTCATTCTTCTTCACATAGTGTTATTATTTCCCATATACTTTGTTTTATTTTTCTTCTTAACTAACTAACCAACTCACAGGAACCTCTCCAATCATTTGTAGTCATTTAACATTGTGTAACATAACTCCACCCGGCCCTCCCCCTATCTGACACCATCAGATATCCTGTTTAATAACAAATACGGTGTGAATTACTACCTATATGGTTTCACTAACGTGTTCAGCCTACGCGCTTCAAATATGACTCTGGTGAGCGTCTGTTCACCATAGGTTGCTATTATTTTACTTGACCGTGTTGTTGCCGTTGTTGTCATCGTCATCATTGCAGCTGAAATTGTTAATAAGAGAGAGAGAGATTAGAGAGTAGTTTTCATGAGCACATTAGGCTTGCAGTCGGCTGGGTTGCATTACTAGTCACATATAACAACTTTTAATACCTACTGATACTAATACTAACGAGGTGAGTGCTACTTATAATCATATATAAGTGGTATACCAGTAAACAAACCCAAAAAATAACAATATGTCTCAGACAGTGGAAAAAGCAATCGAAGAACAGAACTGTGAGAAGAACGTTAGAAAGGCAACTCTAAACAATAGGAACCCAAACCGAAAAGAACTACGAACGCACGAACGACCTTGTTAAGGACAACATCGACCAATCAGAACGCTCAAAAAAACGGCGCATAATTGTAAAAACTCGTTCATATATAAATAAAGCTATGTTAAAAAATAGTTAAAAAGGATAAAGTTCTTGTATATGTTGCAGAAAGAGCTCCCAGTTTCCCATAGGAGTCTTCATACTCATGTTAAACCAACTTCTGTACATAAACTCATGCAGATGACTGTATATCATTGGATTTCTTGATCCGTTCACGAATCTAATCCTTTTCTTCAGGTGACTCCAGAAACTTTCGATGCAATTAGTATGAGTTCCATCCAAAGGATTGCGCAAACCGTCTGTGATTGACTACATGATGAATATACATGAGATTCGACAAGAGACTATAATAACTCCATTCGTCTGTGTGAATAGTGGTCCCGGGCAGCACTAAGCGCTGGATAATAGGCAATAATACACCAACACTGTGATTAGGAATCGCAGTAGAGGTGTAGAGCCTCCATAATTACTTCTAGAAACAACAGAGTCACCTGAATGGTTTCTCAAGGTCGTTTGTGTGTTCGCAGGTCGTTTCGTTTTGGGTTCCTATTGTTTAGAGTTGCCGTTAGAAACACTGTGCAGAACCATCCGACAAGCCATCGAATGTGGTGATGATATTCGACGTATATTTACAAATGATGTCGGTGGCATAGCGGTTAGGACTCTCGCTGACCATGCACATGGTCCGGGGTTCGACTCCCTGCCGACGCACACCTGATATAAATGGTCAGCCTGCTAAATTTGGGCTACTGATATCACATGCTGAAAATTCCACACTTCTACCAAAAGCACTGTGTGGAATAAAGCTATAATCAAAAAAAATAATAATAAAATAAAGCAGTGGAGATATGGTATACGAAATTTGTGTACACACAAAGAGTTTGTCCTAATAAACATTCCTTCGAGCCTCTTCGATCTTTCCTTGCCTACACTACAACAACTACTACTACTACTACTACAAATTTCACTTCATTACCCTCTTGGTCTTTCCATTTTTCACTTCTTCGTCAATATGGTTATTTAATGAGAGGGAACACAACACGCGTAAATCTAATAATACTACTTATATCTGTTTCTCTAATAGGAATTTCACATCTTTACTTTCACAGACAGACGGAGGGCAAGTACACACATGTACAAAGTATCTTCCAGTGGCACTCCAGTCGAGAACTAAAAATATAGGCGGAGGTGTTAGGATGGACAAGCTTCATTTGTTAGTCATGAAGACATGATTTTTTGCGGATACTAACAAGATAACCTTATTGGATGGTTTCGATTTCTTTAGTTACGGCCTAATTTTTTCAGGTCAGTCAACTAATTGGATTTGTTTTTTTATGGCTTACATTTCTGAGGTCTTGTAAATGTAAGCTACCATATATTTTGTCTGAGAAAGCTTGTTGGCGTTGTTGTCGTTTCAGACGTCGTTTTCCCAAGTCTGACTTTTGTGTCTATCTCAGTCAGTGTGGGTGATAATCCCAGTTGATGATCAGGTTGGTTTTAGTGTCATGATGTGGAGGCACATTCCAGTCAAGTTAAACGACAACCATAACTCAGGATCACATCATCGCATCTCTTTCAGTAGACAACATCAGATATATGAGAAGTTTCAGACAATAATATTTAACATCCTTTATTTACACAATAAAAAACAGATTGTTAATCATGAATTATATACAATAATGCTACCATTCAATTGAACAGCTATCAGACAATCACAACCATTCGAAACAAATTGATTCGGTACCCAAACAACATCAGTAACAGAAGAACTAGGAGAATTTGGAATTTCAGGTAACCGTTTCATCGCCGTTGTCATAAGAGCGTATGACGATGAAGAATGCCTACGTCTTGGTGTCTCCCATAGAACTGGACTAGACTGTGACCATGACCCACTAGCCAGCAGTGTACCTGATGGGTTGTAGGCTAAACCGAAAGGATGACCCTGAAGCTGAAAGTAGAAGAGAACATGAATGTGAACTTCAGTAAATTTTATCCAATAATTATCAATGAAATAATTTAAACAGACAACAGAACATTAGAAAGTAAAACATAATAAAGCCAGCAAGATCCACGGTTACAAAAATTCAAGTTGGTAGAGAGGAGTGAGTTGATAGGTAAATAAAAAAAAGGTTATAATCATAATTCCATTTATTCCATTGCGTTCCTCATGGAACACACGGCTAAAAGCTTGAAATTCCAATTGTGGTGAGGGCTGTCTGCTACCCAAATTGGTAGACAGCAATTTACGTCAATGTTTACGTCCCAAATCTTGGTCATGAGAAAAAACAATAACAAAGCCTAACCTTGAGGAACTCAACAACCAATCACAACAGACTTAGCGTGGGAGGATACGATTAGCAGATGTATCAACGGACTGTCAAACAAAAAGGCCACAAAGAGATGACAGAATAACCTTCCGCAGAATAACATCCAATCAGAAGAGGCTGCTTCTCTGCTAACAATAACACTAATAATAATGGCCCTTGTCTTCTGTCGTTACACAATAATAATGAAATTTATGTTTTTCTACGGGGTGAGATTGCTAGCCTAACGCCTAACCTTCCCTCTTTACGAGACTTACTACCAGCCAAGCGCAGTTTAGAAGAGAGTCGGTCGGGGAATCGAACCAAGGACCACGTGAGGCATGATTGGCTAGCATTCTACCACTGGTTCACTGATTTACGATAGCTACTTATGCTGATTCGTTCTAATTTCCCACTCTCTTCTCTCCTAGTGCTGAAACAGAATCCACGCAGCACATCGCCTTTTAAAAAACAATGAATAAGTCGAGTAGCGAAGTCATCGACTTTACTTTACAAGTGAGTGGCATAATTCAGAAATCTTACAGAAAGCAAAACTTTTTTTCAAAGTTCCAGATATACTTTGTTTTATTATTATTATATTATTGTTCCCTTGGGTTCCTCGTGGAATATAGGGCTTCAACTGCACGTCTCCACTTGCTTCTGTCTTCTGCTGTACTTTTCACCTGCATCCATGTTAGTCCATATTGTTTCAACTCCTCTTCACACGATCTCCTCCACGTCACCCTTGGACGTCCCACTCGCCGCTTCCCTTTCGGGTCCCACTCGAGCTATGGCCTGACGCGCGATGTCACCCAGCGGCCTCCTCAGCGAGTGTCCAATCCATCTCCACTTTCTCCTGCATATTTTTTGAGCGATTGGTTCTTGTTTTGTTTGTTCACTTTGTTTCAATGAGTGCCAATTAGTAGAAATCACTTTTGGATGAAAGTTTTATGCTGAAATGACTTGTACCATCGAAAAGTCAACATGAAACTTTAACCTCAGTATCGTGTCACTTACCTACTCAGTGAGTGAGTGACCACATTTCAATAAGTGTCAGATAATTATACCTACAAAACAATATTTCATTCTATACAGAAATACATCTATGAGGAAACAGCACACTAGTGACTGACTACAACGGGGTGGATAGAGTTTCTGCAGCTCTAGTGAGAATTCGTGACCAGTGCTGGCCCAATATCAAGGTGGATGAAATGACAGATGCTCGGTGATAGCATTGGTTGGTTGTGGCGCTATACATATATTGCAAACTGGTAGGAGTGAGAATTTATGGTCTGGTCTCTGGTTTCTTTTATAGTGTGGCTACTAGCCAAAGTTCGCAGGCAGCAATTGACGTCGATGTTCATGTCCCCAATATTGGCGGTGAGAAAATGAGAACAAAGGCTTTGCGTAGGCGGATACAGTTAGCATATGGATGATCTGACGCAGTCACAAAGAGATGCAAGGTTAACTTTCTGTGAGAAACAACCAATCAAAAGACTGCATTTTCTACTAACAATAATGTACAATAATGTACATAAAAATCTATAAATATGTGTTGATTTTCCTTAATAAACGATCTGTCGCCTGGCCCTTGTCTTCTGTTGTTACAATAGGAGTGGCTTGATATTCGACGGAATAGCCTGGTAACCTGAAAATCCCAGATTTGATTACCTTCGAGCTCAAAGGAGTGTACCGGTGCAGAACACGGAACCACGACGAAACAGACAGCTGGCTATTCTTATATTGACGAACTATTGATAATTACTTCTTCGGTACCGACAGAAAACAAGGGCCAGGCAACATGTCGTTTATTGAGAAAATCAACAGATACTTATAGATTTTTATGTACATTATTATTAGCGTCATTGTTAACAGAGAAGCAACGTCTTCTGATTGATTGTTTTCTTGCTCAAGGTTATTCTGTACTGCTAGGGACCGACCGTTTCTCAGAAAGTTAAGCCATATATCTGCGAATCGTGTTTGCACACGTTAAGTCTTCTGTGATTGGTTGGTGAGTTCCTCAAGGTCAGACCTTGTTAATTTTATGTTGTGACCCCGATTCGGGATGTAAACATCGACGTATATTGTTGTCTATAATTTTCAACTTGCAACTAGCTCTCACTACACTACTACTGTAAAGAAGAAGAGACCGAGGAGACTGAAAGGGAAGTTTATTTGATGAAACGTATTGTACATAGCTAAATTTGGAATACCATATTCTCAACCGGCCATTTGCACATCTTTACCACATCCTTGACGAATTGGTCGAATATTGTCACATTCGATAGCTTCTTGGATTCTGCATCATAAGGCAACATTCTTCTCATGGTTCTCTTCTTTGATTGCTCTTTCCAGTGTGCCAAACATATTGTTACTTTGCTGAATTCGTTTCTGATATACTACTCATATCGGATTATAAGTAGCACTCACCACACTACCACTACTACTAATAATAATAATAGATTTATTCTCGACAAAATGCTTACACATTGTACAAGATTTTCAGTAATTCAATTTATGGCGTAATATTCCCTCCCTTCGTCCAGAATTAAAATAGCAATCTATAGTGATATCATGTGACGCTATGCTGTTCCACTTGAAGGATAGATTATAAACCCCTAATCCCCGCCATAATACGTTTTTTTTTAATCTCGGAGAAATACGCATCGGTAGTTTGAAGAAAGCTAATTAAAAATGCGCAAGAGTACATTCTTTTTTCAACCTAGTGAGATAGCTGAATGGTTAAAAACGCAGTAAGAATGAGAGAAAATATGATGCATTGTTATTGAACAGAAATTCAAGTTAGTCGAGTGAATTATTCTTTCTTTTCAAAGTGAGGAAACAAATGTCAATTCCTGAGAAAACAGTCTTTTCTCTCTCAGATAGTGACTACTTATTGTCTTAATCTTGAGTTAATATAAGTATTAGATCAAGGTCAAATTTTACAACTAAATGAAATAAAACAACACAGGAGTACGGCTTGATCATTGTATATTTGATTAGTTTGCATACTTGCACCGTAAATGGATAGCGAATTGGACTGGTCACCGGATTCGATCCCAGAGGTGGTTGGGGTTATCGGGACGGTAAATACCAATGGTTGGAGACAATTAGTGATATGGCTCAAAATCGTTCTCAATGGATCGCACAAATGCATCCACTCCTTGTGACTTATAATACCCAATGAAACTATATTGTTCTTCGTTATTACTATTCTGTTTGCTTCATGTCTCTGTTTACTGTCTCTATTTTTCACTTCTTTTTACTTTCTTCTCTTGCTTTGTGTGTTACATGGAGGGAGTGTGGCGACTTGAACTGCTGCACATCGATGCAAAGTTCTATTTTAAAACCAATCAGTCAGTCAGTAATACCAAGTGAAGATATGCTGTTCAAACCTTCAGATCAAGATCAAATTTTAAAACTGAACAGATCAATACAAACAGTCAATCATGTTGAAGAAGGAGGTTGGGGTGGCCGAGCGGTCTAAGGCGCCAGACTTAAGAATGATCTTCTGGGTGTTCTGGTCCACGATGTGGGCGTGGGTTTGAATCCCACCTCCGACACACACTTTCTCCCCGACGGGCATTACTAGCTGATATAGGTGCAGGTTGGAAAAGAGTAAGTGGTGGCCAAACAAAAACATGGCCTCATCAACCCATGAAATCCTTGTCAGTTAAACTGAGTCAGGTAGGGAGATGCAGACTTCCGGGTGGGGGCCCGCCCTCGGGACTCTAAGAATCAATGAAGGCTGGAGACAATAGGTGACATGGCTCAAAATCGTTGTCAATGGCTTACGCAGATGTATTCAGTCTCTGTAATCTTTCATATTCCTTTCTACCATTACTCATTCTCTTTCACTCTTATACTTGTCAAAACTCTATTGATTCTCTTCACTCATCTTCTTGTCTACGTTTGTGTGCTATTTGGAACGTGGCAACTCGAGCTGCTGCCCTTCGGTGCCAAGTTCTATGTTGAATCCAGACAGAGACAGACAGACATGTTGAACAAAGTATATGATGATAACTGAATACATTGATTGGTTTGTATACCATAAATTAAATACAAACTAACTAACTCACCTGATGACCTTCATAACGCCAACATTTTTCCAAATGATACGATAAACGATTGCACGAGACTGCTGTTAATGATGTCGATCTTTTCATGTTCCGCCCACTAATTTCTATAATTGTATCACCTTGACTTTGTACAGCGAAACGAACATGTTCATTAGGATATGTTATCGGTTTCAATGCCATTCTATTGCATCCCCAACGTTCCTTAGAAATTGTACAAAGAAAGTAGAATAGAAGTAAGGCTATAGACACCCTCGAGGCGAGAACGTTTTGAAAGCCTTTGAATTTAAATTTGATCCCCAAAGTCCAAGTCCACCCTAACCCTAATCTATCACTAATCGAACCATAAACCCCAATATATTTCTAAACCAGCTATAATATCTCCCCAGTTAGGTTAACCTAAACTCAACTATCATCCCTGGTCTAAATGTAACGCTAATCTTTACCTAAGCTAACCTAAACTTATCCAGATATCCTCTTCACTATCATTACAAATCATTCAAAAATCTATCTCATCAATATGATATTATTTACCCGGTTTCACTACCTTTCCCTGACTGGGCGTTTCGACGTCGTCAGTATGATCATGCCTGTTGGGTGTCTGCAGTTTAACTTCACACCAAAGGTTGCATTTCTTTGAGGACCATCTTAGAAACTGTAATCTCTGTAGGCTAAAAGACCCGGTGGACCCAATTAATAATAATAATAATATAATTTACAAAATACCCTACACTGACTGTGAGTTAGGTCAACTATATAGGTTAAACTAGTAGATGGGGGGTAATCAGATTGTCGGAACATAAAAGTTTAGCTAAGGTAAGAATGATTGACCCCGAGAAGAGAAGTAGTTTAGAAAAAGGAACTCAGCAATTGCACTACATGCATTAACACACAACCACACAATAGGGTGGAAGAGGGTAAAAATTCTAAAAAGTAATCTAGATAGGTGGAGAGAGAGAGGTTGATTACTGAGTCCTGGTTCATCCAGTCTACATCCAACACATGCAACAGAAATGACTCAATGCAAATACCAGAAATATGGAAGATATTATTACCACCAGTCAAATCAGAAGAGGATAATAAAAAATGTTAAAATATATACAATACACATTATAGTATTCTAACAAGTTGCTTATTTTGACTATAAAAGCACTCGTCTTATTTACCATCTGATTTTATTAGATTGATGAAACCAATATTATTTCCGGAAGTGCTTCATCTTATATTGATTTTTATTCAAATTTCTAGTCAATTCCACACATGTATATAAATGAAGGAGAAAGTTGTGTGAGTAGTGGCTTGATATGATTATGAGCAGTGATAAATTGTTCTCGAAACGTCATCAGTTAATGTTACTGCGTAACACTGTGTGACTTATCAAAATAAAATTTTATCCATAATGGAGTTATACTCTACCACCACAGTGCCCAAGTTTTATACTTATATAAAAAATCTTAGTAACTATACTTTCTACACTTATTTACTAACTGATTAAAAATGCCCATTAAAATTTTCAAAAGAATGGACACGGAACAAAGAGTACTCTTTTCGATAACTTCATCATCATCAGGCTCTACAGTTATATATACATTATAATGAATGAATGAATTAGTCTTATGAACGACAATAATGTTTAAACAACATCGAATCAATAATATCAGTGGATTACAGCTCAATAGCATCAACATAACAATAAACTGAATGTCAGAAGAATTAGGAAAGATGATAGCACAAATTCATGAATTTATAGTCTCCACTGAGGGCCAGAGTAGTAGTAGGAGCTGGGCTTGCTTCTTTTGAACACACAGAGCACTGGTTGTTTGAGGCGAATTGCAATAGCCTCTGCTGTTTGGAGCATGCGGTGCTTCGACAATTTTGGTAATTTGTTAGGCACCCGGTATATTATAGAGAAGGATTCTTCTACGCTGGCTTTGTGACCGGTTTGCACCAGATTGTGTAATATCGAGCTGTTAATAGTTTAAACTACACCTTTACTTAGCCATAGTGGGAGATGTTCTCGAGTGAGCACGAAAAATCAAGTTCCTAGAGCAACGGCCAGTATAACTCGCTCCACAAGTGCAGTTGAATTGATAGATACAATTTGAAGTGGCTAGTCTAGGTGTGGTGAGAGCTGTCTACTAGCCAAGTGGTGGACAGTAATTGAGGTCAATGTTTATGTATCAAATATTAGTCATGTTGTGGTGAGAGATGGTTGCTGGCCAAATTGGTTGACAGTAATTGAGGTCAAAGGTCAAGGTGGACAGGCGGATACAGTTAACATATAGATGAACTGACACAGCCACAAGAGATGCAAGGTTAACTTTGTGTGAGAAACAACCAATCAACAGACTGTATTTTCTACTAACATTGACCTACAATAATGTACATTAAAATCTATAAATAAGTGTTGATTTTTCGTAATAAACGATCTGTTGCCTGGCCCTTGTCTTCTGTTGTTACATAGGTACTTCATCTTTCAGTCGCGGTAGCACATTGGTACTCAAAAAAATCTCTCTTAAAGAATAAATTAATAGCTAGTCGGGTGGTGGTGGCACTTCTATTCTTTGAAGTCACTTGAGTGAAAGCTAAGACATGAGTTAATCATAGTTGGCTGATGGTAGTTATCAAGTTTCATCCCCATTCCTCATAAATAGAATTTTGACAGAAGTGTTTATTGTTAAAGATAAGACTGTTGACAGGAATAGTCCACTAATATCAAGAGTTAGTGGACAACTTAGTGAAAGGTGTATACTGTATGTTGATCGATGTCTGCTACCCACATACGCTTTAAACGAAGAGGCGACAGTGAAGGTAAACTTCAAATACCCAACAGCCGTCAACCTCCACCCTCCCCCTTCCCAAATGTCAGTCAGAGCAACGCAGTCAAACCAAGCAAATAACATCGTTTCCATGAGAAAGGTGTCGTTATTTACCAACTGATGACAACCTAATAGAAACATCCTTCATTCCACGACGACACCTCATACGAGGACCACCAACATTCTTACGTTCTTACCATCTGGTCCTACGGCAAGAGATCAGAGACCAGTACGGAGGCCTCTGAGGTGACATTCGTAGCACATGCACAAGCCACCGAAGTCGTTGTTTTCAGATCACGGTACTCAATCAGTAGTGACCTACACATCGTGTCCACAGAAACTCTAATGGATCTCAGAATTACTCGCACCATGATACCATCGGACGTAAGCAATTCTAAGGAGACAGCGATGACACAATACAGAAAGTCGCCTCACATAGATATTTCGGAGAGGCAAAGTATCCCAGATGTAGAACAGACTGTGATCACCAGAGAATTGTGACCCCAATATTTGACAGACACACAGACTGACGTCATGATGGTGCCCAAGATGACCTAACTTGGTGTATTTCACCTTACCTTTGGCTATACGATTAGAGATTTCATCCGTCAGACTACCATCAGCAGTCAGACAACAACCTAGATACACGAACATGTCGAAAACTTCAAGTAGTTCACCTGCAACGATGAGTGCAGCTACAGACTCATGCCAATCTTGTAACAGTATTTTGCATTTAGACAGTGCAAAGCACATACTATACTTACAGACACTGATCAACAACTGATTAAGTGCAATTTCGGTAGCCTGAATGCTATCATACAGTAAGACGACATCCTTTCACCTTTTGCAGCTAACTTTATTGTGTCAAAGTTGAAATGTTATTCAACAACCACAATGGACCATACGCTACAACAACAACGGTAACAGGTAACAGGTTACGATTACACATACATGTGCACATATTCACATTCATACAGGCACAAACGAAAACCCCAATTATTGATTTCGTCATGAGGCAGTATTAGTTAGTAGAGAATCCCTGAAAATTATAAAGGGTTGGACAGGTTATTTAGTTTGTGTTTGATACTCCTTAGCAATGTGTGTACCATCAATAACAACTCCACACTCCTAAGACCTTCGTCTTGCAAGATGACAACACTTACGGCACTCAGTCACCTAGTTGGAAGTTTTAATAACCTACCCTATGGACTCTAATTTCTACCATTTCGTCATATATGGCCATCCTATCCATTGTAGAAGTTCATGAATAAATACTCTAAAGAAATTAGCCCCTGCAAAACCATCTATACAGTTCCGAAGAAATCTGTCTATATCACTTTACCATTTAAAGGAAATGATGTACAAGAAGTAGTCATACGAAGACTCGATAAAGCTATCAAGAGAACTTATTATATTACAAAACTTGTTTTCTTTGAACATCACCTAGCGAGTGTTTCAACAATCAGGGAAAGATCACTCACCAATCCTCAACACTTCAAACTGCGTATATCAATTTGATGAGTGTGTTTGTGAAAGCAAATACGCATAGGTCGTACAGAAAGGCGATTGTCTACTCGCATGATGAAGCATTTGACAAATTGGTTGAAAACAGCTGAATGAAAAGTGCCAAAATCCTCAATAACAAAACATCTTGTGGGATATGGATATGATATCGACGCTGTCAAGTCAGCAGACAAAGAAACAGAAAGATGCTTGCAATTGTAGAGGCTTGTGCAATTTGGGTTTATAAACCAGGTCTCTGTGTACAAAAGGAGAAGGTCGTGACTCTGAATCTACCATGGTAATACGTTTTACTTATTATGATTATTGATTCATTGAAAACTATCCTTTATCAGTAGGATTATCTTAACTCACTTCAACATAACTATTTTTGTTATTATTATTATAACTACTACTATTGATATTACTCTGTTTGCAATTCCTGATATATTCTCTAATGACTAATTGTTTATCTAAGTGATGTAATTGAAGCGTAATGCATTTTATCTTAATTTTAATCTCCTCTTATCTATTTGAACATGACCTGGAAAAACATTCGCACCTGTCTTTCTGCATGACTAATTCAATGTAGTTTATTTGCTTATCAGTCTTATATCTTCCAATGTAATTTCAAAAGTGTATATATATCCGCGCATGTAGAGTATTCAGCTGACGAGTTCTACCGAAATTTGATAAATTCATTAAAACACAAAATAATTTAGCAAAGAATATTCTTTTCGATAATTTCCTCTTCTGGCTCTGCAATTATATATACATGTGTTTATATACACAGAATATTCTAGAATAGTAGTCAATAACAATATTGGTGTTTTTTTTAAAATAAGATCAATGGAATTACAGTTCATTAAAGATGCTTTAATTACAATAATAATAAAGATATAGTAGCAAATAGAATATAAACTAAAATTAGGAAAATTCCACTAAATTCAGGATCATTCAAACCTACATGGCCAAGGTAAGGACAATGTCTGAACTAACTTCTTTTCGACTCACAAATTAGGCTTGTTAATATGGATCCCAACGGCCATTTTCAGCAATATGTAGTAGTCGAACTCTTAAGGCAAAATTGAGATTCGTTGGTATGCGATAAATAACCCTGAAAGCATGGTTAACGTCAATCAGTCTTGTGTTCTGTATCCACAAGATGAGATAGAATAGCGCTGCGAATAGATGGATTTTGTTTGTCCTTTACTTAACCACCATGCGGGGTGATGTTCGGAAATTCGACGAGAAACACGCCTAACTGTACGGCCTATGTAACTGGCTCACTCCACAGGAGCAGTTAAATTGGTAGACACACATGGAAGAGGCGAAATAAATGTTTTCAAGTAGATGGCAGTGTCCATCGTACGCGAGCACTACTCTAGAAAGACTCCTAGAGCAAAGGTAAAAGAAACAACTAGCTAACTAGCTGTTCAGTGGTAGTGCTCACACACTTTTTTTCCTTCACGTTCCCCATTGGAACATAGGGCTTCAAGCTAGTGGCTTGAAGTTTCTGTAGCAGTGTTTATTTTACAGGATGAGGTTGCTAGCCTCATGCCCAAACTTTCCTCTTCACCTGCATTATATCTGGCTTAGCGAGGTAAAGGAGTGCGTCGGCCGGGGATCGAACCCAGGACCATGTGCATAGTCGGCGAGCGTCCTGACCGCTATGTCACCAACGCACAGGTTCAATAATACCAAGGCTTTATGGTTTACCGAAGATACACAAAATGCTGAACTGCACACTTTTTAGTTTTCTGTAATGATTTCATTCCATTAAATAGATACACTGATTCATGAAGAAACATCAACACACACACACATGCACATACACACACTGAAATCACTCACTTTCTCATCTCAATATTATAAGAAAGATGAGAAGTTATAAATGAAAAACGCTTACTTGATATAATTGATGTGATATTGGCTTAGTGAAACGGATATCCCATACACCAACATTATGCTCACAATTATTACGATCCACAGTATCTGAACATGAACTGAAATGATGTTCATTGAGCCATAACAGATCAGCAATCTAAAACATTAAAATTTATGTCTTCATTACTGTTATTGTAATTATTAATAAAATACAAAGTTGATACACTACAGGTACGAAAGGATTCGATACACTAAATAAATCTTGTAGTTTCTGTGGTGGATGGGATGGTTTCCGACCAACCAGATTGAAGCAGGTGGTTGTCTTAAAGGGTCACAGCCCAACCCTCAGCTATTGACTTCCACTCTGACCCACAAGATAGTCGAACAGCGTCAGGAACTACGTTCACATTGTTTCCGGTGAGTTAAACAGGTTTGGCTTCTACAGCCCATGTACGTACAATACAGGTTTGGAATCAGGGTTTTCCAGTCCCTCCCCCACGCCAATAGGTACACCTGCATGTTTATCAGTCCACTTGTTGGTCGTGTAAGTCGTTCTCATTCTCTCCTCCACTTTTATGAGCAACACTTAGGCCTCATGAAGGCAGTCAATAGGAGTTACCACCTGGCTGGCAGAAACTACGGACGCGTGGAAGCCTAATGAGAACAAATCGACAAGGAGACCGAAGTCAACGCATTCTCTGCTGTACCAGGTCATTTATGCAGGCAACTAAGATAATAATAGATTATAACATCTACTTATGAACTAATCAAATATACATTATGGAAAATTTACTAAGTCATTAATACAACTGACATCCATCAACATTTAATGAAGTTCCCAGACTGTTTAAACTTTACTAAATCAAATGATGAAATGCCTTCATTTGAAATATAACTATTTACAGGATGATTAGTGTAGTGTACACGTGTACACTACATGAATTAAAACTGTTAAAGTGGTTAGGGTTATTTCAGAACATGATTTAAGCAGGACAAAACGTATTTCCGGTGAATTCTTATCCGACATTACATAGTTACGTAATAAAATATCAATTCATAGACATTTGAAACTATGCCGATCAATATAATCGAATATAATCGAAAAGGATGTTGGGAGAGTGATAGTAATATTACTAATATTATTCTATAGTTGGTTCGTAAGGATTCGTTTTGTTTTTACGAGTTGATTACGGATTGATATCAGTTAGAGAACGATTGAAAACCAGGGAGTACTGGACAGATGTTTCATCCTAGTTTGGGAATCATCGGCAGTAGGTACCCACTGGGGTTCAATGGTTTCAATGGTTCTCTTACTGATATCGATCCGTGATCAACTCGTAAAAACAAAACTAATCCTTGAAAATAAACTACAGAAAATTATTCTGATGCTCGCTAGTGACTTGCTACAGGACGGAGTTTCCTGGGGTTCTAGTGAGAAGTCGTGACCAGTGAGGTCCATGCAGATGTCACGTGTGATGATGGATGTCCCACCGACGACATAGGTTGATGGTCACGCTAAATCGCGAATTGGTAGAAGTTAGAATTCATGAGCCATTGAATCGGGTCCCAGTGGCTGAGTGGTATACGAGCTTGACTTGTAACCGGAGGGTCCTGGGCTCGAACCCCTGTTGTGGGTGCGTACTGCCGATGATTTCCAAATTAGGATGAAACAGCTGTCCAGTATTCCCTGGTTTTCAATGGTTCTCTAACTGATATCAGTCCATGATCAACTCGTAAAAACAAATACTAATAATAACCAGGATAATCATTCTATGTCGAGGTTAAAAGCTACAGGAGGGAGAGGAATTGAACAAACATTTACCGAACACGAAAGTTGACCTGGAAAATTCTTATGATGACTGCCTGAGCTGAGCTTAGTGATCGAAGACGTAAACACTTAGGCGATTGAGATGGTTTCTTGTATAGAATTGTAAAGGCGGAATTTCTACCAATCTTGTGATGCATATCCACAATGTGTGGCAATATGGAACTCTTGATTAACTTTACGGTTCCTTTGTCTAACCATGTTGGACAATGCTCAGAAAAGCGGCAGTGGGCTTTCCAAGTCGTTCTACCTACCTAACTGTCTCCATGACAACAATTAAATTTATAAATGTACATCAATGAGGTGGTCAGACTCGACGGCTTATCCTTCACCTGTGTATTTGAATTATATACAACGACTCATGAATTTTAAACATAGTGTTGCTGCGAAAGACGTTTTAGCTATTATTTTTCGGAGTTTCGATGCCAAGAATTCACTGGCTGTTTCTCCTCTGAACACGGAAGTCATGGGTATATACATTACTTTTGCACAGTTTAAAAGCATTTCTCTCGATCTGTTCCCATCATGGAGACTTCAGCACACTTTTCTGGATATCTGTTCTCGTACAAAAAGTTTTTCCTGATTTCATTGTCAAGAGTGTCAGTTGTGCAGATTTCTTACTAATGAGATTTATTTTGTATGCAAGAGGAATAAACGACCTGAAATGGGTCGTGTTGGTCAACCCCTATCTTGCCTTCTTGTTAGCAGGACACATCAATAAATGACAAGAAGTTGTCTTTCTCTATTTTTAAAACCAAGGTTACTGAACAAAGAGTACTCTTTTCGATAACCTCTTCATCATCAGGCTCTACAGTTATATATACATTATAGTGAATGAATGAATTAGTGTTATGAACAACATTAATGCTGTTTAAATAACATCGAATCAATAATATCAGTAGATTACAGTTCAATAGCATTATCATAACATAAGCTGAATGTCAGAAGAATTAGGAAAGATGATATTACAAATTCATGAGTTTATAGTTTCTACTGAGGGCCAGGGCAGTAGTAGGGGCTGGACTTGTTTCTTTTGAACACAGAGCACTGGTTGTTTGAGGCGAATTGCAATAGCCTCTGCTGTTTGGAGCATGCAATGCTTCGATGATATTGGCAACTTATTAGGCACCCGGTAGATGATAGAGAAGGATTCTTCTATGCTGGCTTTGTGGCCGGTTTGAACCAGATGGCCCAATATCGAACTGTTGATGGTTTTCACTGCACCTTTACTTAGCCATAGTGTTTTATTTGTGAACTCACTTTGTCGAATCTTAGTACGCAAATGTAAACGCAGAGGAACTCAGCATTTCTCTATCCAGTATAATAAGCAGTCAGACAGGGAATTCAGAATAACCGATTAAAAATGCCCATTAAAATTTTCAAAAGAATAGACACGGAACAAAGAGTACTCTTTTCAATAAATTAATCATCAGGTTCTACAATTATGTATACATTATAATGAATGAATGAATCAGTCTTATGAACGACATTAATGCTTAAATAACATCAAATCAATGGCAATGGGCTCCCCATTGGGTCCCATTCTGGCCGATTTCTTTCTAAGTAAACTAGAAAATGGACTTCTGAACAACCTTATCAGTAAGCTCTCATTTTATTACCGATATATGGATGATACCTTTATTCTTTGTAATAATGGTTCCGATAGGAGTACAATAATTACTGAATTCAATGAAGTACATTCGGCTATGAAATTCACATGCGAAGAGGAATCCCAACACAGAATTGCCTTTCTGGATATCCTACTTACAAGAAAACCAGACGGTAGCATAAAAAGAAATTTACATAGAAAAAGCACTTGGACAGAACAATATACACACTTTCACAGTTTCGTTCCCATCAATTACAAAAGGAATTTAGTGAGGACCCTTAGCCACAGAGTTAGAGCTATATGCTCAGAGGAAGTAATTGAGGATGAATTAATCATTGTATATGATACTTTAATCGAAAATGGTTATCCTGAACAATTTATCAAGAAACATATGACAAAGAAAGCCGAAAAGGACTACCCACTATCTGTAAACAAAAAGCCCCTTTCAATACGACTACAATTCATGAGCGATATACCAAGCGAGTTAATTACGAAGAAATTAAGAAAACCAGTTCAAAGAACTTTTAATGCTGGCGAACTACACGTATTATTCTCTACACGACCGATGGTGCTACCTCGACTGAAAGATGAAGTACCTAGACTAGCCACTTCAAATTGTATCTACCAATTCAACTGCACTTGTGGAGTGAGTTGTGTTGGCCGTTGCTCTAGGAACTTGATTTTTCGTGCTCGAGAACATATTCCATTATGACTAAGTAAAGGTGTAGTTAAAACTATTAACAGCTCGATATTACACAATCTGGTGCGAACCGGTCACAAAGCCAGCCGGCGTAGAAGAATCCTTCTCTATAATATACCGGGTGCCTAATAAATTGCCAATATCATCGAAGCACCGCATGCTCCAAACAGCAGAGGCTATTGCGATTCGCCTCAAACAACCAGTGCTCTGTGTTCAAAAGAAGCAAGTCCAGCCAGCCACTACTACAGCCCTGGCTGGCCTTCAGTAGAAACTATAAACTCATGAATTTGTACTATTACCTTTCCTAGTTTTTCTGACATTCAGCTTATTTTATGTTGATGCTATTGAGCTGTAATCTATCAATATTATTGATTTGATGTTATTTAAACATTATTGTCGTCCATAAGACTAATTCATTCATTATAATGTATATATAATTGAAGAACCTGATGATGAATTCAGAATAACTTTAACAGCAACAAATTAACAATTGTGATACTCAACGCACAAGGGTTGGCTCTCGTCACCCACTGGTCCAGTGGACAACAAGGTTTCAGCGTTTGAAAGTATTGGTTCCCGGTTTCGAAACTCTGTGGGAAAACTTCCACTCAATGACTCACGGGGATGCAGTTACGTCCATACTGATCAGTTTCAAATAGGAATAGAAATCCACATCTCAGATTCAACCCACATACACACAACAACCAACACATCATGACACACATATTACAATTGTGAAGTATTTTTTTTAAAACATCCACTTACCGATGCTTTTAATTCTGAATGAGAAAATTTCAACTGAGGCCTCTGCAATGTTGATGATACACGTAGATCCCATAAACTAATCACACCACTCATACCACTGGTTAAAAGACAAGCTGGATAGGCGGTTGATGGCAGGGCAGCACAACGTAACAATGGGCCAGTTTGTGATGAGACATCGAATTCTCTGATTCTTTTATCTATGCAAAATAGAAAATTCAATTCTTATATGTGTGCAGAACACTTGAGGACTGTGGAAGTATGTAACTCCATAAAAATTTGCTTGCTAGATAAATATAAATCGTAGAAAATACCCATCGAAACATTAGATTGAAAAGAACAAGAAGTTCAACAACAAAGATGACGATCTTTTCGGCGATTTCATTATCAAAAGCTGTAGAATCGCATTTATACAGATTAGTTTAAATGGATACAACTATTGTTTGGTGTGTTTCATTAAATTTAGAAAGTTTGTCGGTAATTTCATCAATTTCTAATTCAGCAAGATGCTGAAGGTTGGAGAGTGAAAATCTTTTATTATTATTATTATTTGTTTAATTCCACATAGAAACGAAGGTGATACTAATTTTCAACTTGATATGAAAGTTTGAAGGTAAGAATGTAGATTACAAGGGGCTCCTACTTTGGAGCAATGGGAAGGACAGACTTCCGCATATGACCACTTCACAATGTGCATATATCAGATCACCTGCTCTTGCGGCACTAGGTACATAGGTCATTCAATGCGGGTCTTATCAAAACGTGTTAGAGAACATCATCCAGCAAGGCTGCAAAGAGGAGGCACTGGTTCAATCAGAAGCGCAATAACTGAACACCTCGTCAATCAATACCTGTCACAGAATCTCAAGTGACTCATCGTTTAGAGTCATTTACAAAGTAAACAAAAAATCTACCAAAGGCAGTGTGTTTCTGACTTCTTTGTACTGCGGAAGCTCTCGCCATATGCATCGAAAAGCCGGAGCTATGTGTTCAAAAGAAACTAGTCCAGCCTTTACGACTACCATGGACCTAGTTCGGTATGTTCCCTTGGCCTTCATTTTTTTGGTCTCTGTATGTGTGTATTTTTCTCTCTTTGTCTTCATTCAATTCATCAATTCGCAGATGATATATGCCTAATATCACACAGACTCGAAGACTTCCAGGCGAAAACCAAAAAACTGGCTGAAGAGGCAGCAAAAACAGGACTACACGTGCACACAGAGAAGACAGAGGTGATGAAAATAACCAATCAACAGCAACAACAACCAGCACCAATCCCCATCAACGGGAGAGATCTAACAGAGGTTACCTCCTTCACTTATCTGGTTTGGAAGCATTGTTTCAACAACAGGTAGTCGAAACGGACGAAGATGTCAATACCAGGCAGAATCGTAAAGGCGAGATACTCTTTCATCAACCTGAAAGCAGTATGGAAATCTTCGGCATTGACTCAGCATAAGGAACAAGATTTGCATTTTCAAGACCAATGTGAAGTCGATTCTTCTATACTGGTCTGAAACTTGGCCAGCGTGTCACGATAAGGATTTCCAACAGTCTGTTGCAGACTTTCATCAACAGCTGTCTTCGCTGGCTCCATACTGAATATCAAATGGTCAGAAAGAATAAGCAACAAGAAACTATGGGGACAAAGCAACAAGCAAGAGCCGATCGCTCAAAAAATATGTAGGAGAAAGTGAAGATGGATCGGGCATACATTGAGGAAACTGTCGAATGACATCTCACGCCAGGCCAGTGCTCTAGAGGAATCAAAATGGGAAGCGACTAGCGGGTCGTCAATGCAAGGGTGACATGGAGGAGATCGTGTGAGGAAGAAATGAGAGAGTTTGGTTAATCGTTGACCCAGCTGAAGAGGGCCGCAGAAGATAGGACAAAATGGACATGTGTTGTTGAAGCCCTATGCTCCACTCGGAACGCAAGGGAATAATAATAAAATAATACATCTCACTGGGGTTATTCGATTTTTGACATCAACCATTAAACCATTTAGACTAACCCATAAACGCCTTCATTCGGTCTATAAGGTCCGTTGTGCATGAATTTCTTAACTTTATTCATTGTGTGGCGAGTGCTACTAATAACATTTATTAGTAGTAAATACGCAAAGACACGTTCACCGGCATAAAAATATTAAATAGCAAGCAGATACATTTGATTTCAGACAGGCCAAATGATACAATGTGTGGAGATATACATGGAAGACGTGAAAAGAACAACACTAAGAAATACAATATGAAGTCCAGAAGTACTACACAACCCGAAGATCTGTGCAAATGGTGCCGCCTTGAAGGTAGGGTATAATATACACAATTTGGCTTTATAGAAGAGATGCCAGTTTCCAAATAAGCATTCTTATACCGAGTCTTTAGTCTTCGACGGTTAAAATAGTGTAACGACAGAAGACAAGGGCCAGTCAACAGATCGTTTATTAAGAAAATCAACAGATATTTATAGATTTTCATGTACATTATTATTAGTGTTATTGTTAGCAGAGAAGCAACGTCTTCTGATTGGTTGTTTTCCTGCTGAAGGTTATTCTGTCATCTCTTAGTTGCCGTTTGTTAGACAGTCCGGTGACGTATCTGCAAATCGTATCCACCCACGCTAAGTCTTCTGTGATTGGTTGTTGAGTTCCTCAAGGTTAGGCTTTGTTCTTGTTTACTCTCCTGACGTCAACATTGACGTAAATTGCTGCCTACCGATTTGGCTAGCAGACAGCTCTCACCAGAATATTGTTTATTGTTTTCTTAATTTCTTCATACAGTGGTTTCCTGTTTGTATGTGGGTATTAACCTCCTCCTCCTCCAAATAGTCTGATTTGTCTGTCTGATATTCCTGTTGCATTTCCTTTGTCTGATTTAGTGATCAATTATTGTGTCCTTGTTATTCTTAAGGTGTTTTAGGGCTTCTATCTCTGGTTCCATCATGTTAGACTTCCATCATTTTTTAGTCGTTGTTAATGTCAGTGCATATTGTGCCAATACTGCATCAGCTATTGTTTTGTCTATCCTACTTAGTGCTAATGTGGTGAGAGCTGTCTGCTAGCCAAAATTGGTAGACAACAATTTCCGTCAATATTTAGCCCCAAATCGGGGTCATGAGAAAAAACAAGAATAAAGACTAACTCAACAACCAATCACAGCAGACTTAGCGTGGGCGGATAAGATTAGCAGATATATGGTCTGACCTTCAAATAAACAGCAACAAAGAGATGACAGAATAACCTTCAGCAGGAAAACAACCAATCAGAAGACGTTGCTTCTCTGCTAACAATAACACTAATAATAATGTACATGAAAATCTATAAATATCTATTGATTTTCTCAACAAACGATCTGTCGCCTGACCCTTGTCTTCTGTCGTTGCACTAGTAATAAGACTGTTCCACTTTGTAATTTACATCTACTAAATAAATAAATTAAATATCAAAATTGAATTCTACAAACACAAATGCGGATAAACTTTCTACCATAAAAATAAGAAGGCAAAGAAACAGGGGGGGGGAATTAATGCTATGAACAATCGTCATTATTCATTGAGGAATTCCATGCATGATCTACAGAACTATTTCAAAATAACCCTTTTGCAAAAGTTCATTCACCCATAGTTCTGTAGTCCGATGGATAGAGGGAATACCCACCCACCCACCTCTAGCAGAAAAATTCAGTGCGTTTATGAATATTTTCTATTTTATTTGAAATCAATGTCAAATCTACCTAGAGAGAGAGAGAGAGTGAGTGAGGTAGGTCACATTAGTCTGTTATTCAACGCTTGATAATGAAACACACACCTATTGTGTGTCAAAACTACCTGGTTATTCAAACCCCAATAGGTGCAGCTGGTTCTCAACCAATCACTCAATGGTTAGAAGTCGATAGTCTGCAGCAATGAGACGCATCCCCACCGAGATTACATTAAGTAAAGTAAAGTAGAGTATGAAAGGCTAAATGAAGTTTGTATTTTTACAAAAAGAGACTATGGAAGCCTAAGGTGTTTGCTGTCGTAAGTCTAATTAAGACTGCCAGTTCGGTAGAAGTTATGAGTCTCCCTGCAATACTTATACATAAACAAACATGTTGTAGCGCCTCGCTGTATGACGCCAATGTTCTGAAAGAAATTCAGCATGTCAAAATTTTCTATTCGAAAGACATCTATCTAGACTTGGGAGACGAATTCGTCTTGCTCTTGGTTCAACTACCGAAAGCTTAGAATTCAATGTGTTGATTATCGACCAATCAAAAAACACGCTTAAATAAACGAATAGGGCATCCGATAACTGACATGGAGGAGATCAAGTGAGGAGGAAATTAAAGTTTATGGATAACCGTGCAACTAGATGATGAAGAGGATTACAGAAACGAGGATGAAATGCAGACGTGCTGTTGAAAGCTTATGTTCCACTTGAAAACCTAGGAAATAATACAAAATAATATCCTAGACAGTCTACAGTTGAAAGGAAGAAGCCTGAAGATCAAATGTGCACACTTTTATGTATATACAGCGAACCATTGCTCTTCTTCCTTCCTTGTGTTAGTTTGTTAAGGTTTTAGTGGTTACAAATTTCATCACGACTTGACATCAGTTACAGAACAACTACTGAGAATCAACGAGTACCTGCTTTGTCTTAGTTTCGCACTCTTCTGCAGCACTACACTGACTCCTTGTTTAGAAATAGAGAGTGAAATGGTAGAGCACGTTGACCACTTCACTGATTTGGAAAGTTGCATCAGCCAGCCCCAACGGGTTGATCACTTACGAAATTTCAACACGGACACAGAAGGCTCGTTTTGCGATTGCCAGTTTACGCCGTCCCTAGCTTAGTGGACGTGACATCCGACTGGCTGTCGATCAAAGGGCGTATGTACTACTTAGCAGTCCGACCCGTCCTCCTTTATGGCTGTGAGCGAGATCTGACCATTGAGAGTGGAGGACATGAAAAGCATGGCTAGCTGTCTTTGATCAAATGTGTCTGCGTTCCATCTCCCGTGTCAGTTGGTATAATAGGGTGATCAATATTGAGGTTAGGCACTGGTCGAGTGCTAGGTAAGGAGGGGAAATCAGTCGACGAGGTTGTGAAGTTACATCGATTGAGATAGTTAGAACATGTGTTACGAATGCATCCCTAGCTATCGCCTTCCTCGACAACGGGCAATGTTAGCTGACATAGGATCAGGTGGTGGTCAAACCAAAACATGGTTTCATCAGTCAATGAAATCCACAACAGTTCGTTTAAACCACGTAGGAAGGTGTAGACTTCCTAACTGGCTGGTTGGGATCCTCGGGACGGTAAAAACCAATGAAGGCTGCAGACAATTGGTGATATGGACCAAAACCGTTCTCAATGGATCGCACAGATGCATCCACTCCTTGTGACTTATAATATCCAATGAAACTATATTGTTCTTCGTTATTACTATTCCTTTTGTCTCATATCCCTGTCTACTGTCTCTATTATGCATTTCTTTTTACTTTCTTCTCTTGCTTTGTGTGCTACATGGAGGGAGTGTGGCGACTCGAACTGCTGCACATCGGTGCAAAGTTCTATGTTGAAAACAGACAGACAGACTTCGGCAGTACCCACCAAAATACTCGACGGTAGGTAACATTAGCTGATGGTGGAGCTAAAATTCGCAAACTGACACAAGTTAGAGTACACAGATCGTTTGATTCTGTCACACTGGACTTATGATCAACGAACTCGCACCGTAATCTGAACGTCCTGGGTTCGATCGCCCATGAGATCAAGGGTGTTTACAGCTGAAGAGCCTCCTTCCTTTGACAGAAAACCACCAAATGAAGGGACACGCTATATAAACCATTCTCGCTTAGTATGATTTTGTTTCCCCCCAATTAATCACACTGTTCAGTAGTATATACACTGAATATACATGAGAAAAAAAGGTGATAATCAAGTCATCAATTTAAAAATGTAAACATACCCTGTTGAACATCCCATATTTCAATAAATCCTTTACTAGTAGCTGTTACTACCTGTAAACATTGTGGATCTGTCTCAGCTGAACAAAATTTCATCCAACAGTAATAATCTCGTCTTGAGCAAGCCGACGACGACGACAGTGATGATGATGATGAGGTCACTTCATGATTTCGATGAATATGATAACTACAAATCGGTGTACAGGTGGCTTTTGAGGCGCTATCATCAAATGGTAACTTCCAGATTAGAATATGTGATGATATACACTGGGATGAATGCATCGATTGTTTCCAGGAGGTTAACAAAGGTCCATATAATGCAAGATACGGCCATTGGAGAGATAAACGTGGATAGATTATGATGTCATTGTATTGATGAATACCTAAGGTCTGATATTGTTTGTTCAAAGAAAAACAAAACCCGACAAAGAGTGGATGTAATTGATTCCATACAAATAAGCAAGTTTATAAAGAATGGAGAGTCTGAGTAAACATTTGCTTTTACGAAATTCGGTAGTTTCATCGATGATAGATAGCTGCCACCTTGACGCGATGGTGATAATGTTGGCCTTCATAGTGTTGGGAGTCTGAGAAACAAGTAGTTCTCTTGGTGAATAGTGGGTGTAGATACAGGAAGGTATATTTTCTAGGTCCACGTGTGACTTTCCATAGCAGGTAGTGTAATCTTCATATGGACACATCACAAGAAACCGCTTCACACAGACAGTGTGTAACTGGCTACAAAAGGTTCGCAACTCACTCCAATGGCCATGTGGTCATGCAACATTTTATTGCCTTGATGTTTCACATATGTCAAGAAGAAATTAACTTACACAATGCGAGGCAACTGTCCACACATTTCTATCCCAACATATAACTGCTACTTTGACGAATAGGTCGGCTTTCTATATCGAAATGACTCATTGAGCTACACTGACTGGAATCAATGTTCCTACAAGTCGTACAATGCCTGAAGGGTAGTTTCGATTGCCGTTAGACTACAAGCAGTTACCATCATAGTGCTGGGGGATCTGTAGGTGAAGTTGTACTGCTGACGCATATGGATGCAACAGCAGTAACGTGTTTCTCTCAGATGACCAGCATGTCAGTAATGTTGCCTCTCTGCTCTGGAGGGGAGGCCTGAATTACTTTGTGGTGGTCCGCAGTCAGTGGTAACATCGTAATATGGACGCCATTTCAGAAACCAATTTAGACAGGTATTGTGTGACCGGCCTCAAGTGGTTGCCCCATAAGTTCTTCGTTCACACAACAATAATTCTCTTTCTGTTTTCGGCACCTAGAGAAAAAGTCATCTTCCACGATATGGACAGTCGGGAAGTATAAACTACTCACACACTATCGAAAACGCACAAAAATCTTAGATTGAACACGAGTTAGTAATTAGTGTAATCAGACTAGTCCTTTGTTTGGTGAAGACTGAGTTCTACTAGTCAAGTTTGCGATGTGGTCACCATGCCACTAGGTGGCTAACCCCATCACGGTGTCTCGTGAATTGTTGGTATTAGAAAGTTGGGGGCAATAAGCATGGAGCCTTGCCCAACCCATGTTTCGTCATAGTTGGCACTCACCAGTAGTCAGCAAAGCGTATCTGCAACCTTGAAAGAACTCTTGTTCCTTCTGATATTCAAACCAGTGTCACCCAGCGATGCAGTCAGATTGGGAGCCCGAACACCTCAGTGGCAACATCTCTAGCTGAAGCACACTGAGTGGCACAGGTTCGAATCTCAGAAGGGACATGAGTCCCTTCAATGTTGCAGGTACGCCTTGCTGGCTGACTGGTAGGTGCAGACTAGCACGAAACATAGGTCATAAAAGGCTTCTTACCGATTGCATCCAACTATCTAATGTACACAAAAGTCTCCTGATCATCACTTCACCTTCATCTTTTGGGTGTGTTCCTATCCCCCACCACTGTTAATACTATTTATTCCACGGGCCAATTCTTCTTCACCAACACCTTAACTTACCCATGATATCCAGTTAAATAGAACACACACAGAGCAAAAGAGAGACAGATTTCATCAAAATGTATTAAGGAGATCGTCGTCTGTCATTCGGACAATTACCAACGCTTACCCTCTGCATCAAATACAATGATGATACTCAGCATTAATCATCTTGTTACAAATAAAATGGAACGGGTGTTTAGCGAATCAACACATTCAAGACAGCTAGACCCGTTTCAACCATTTTTAATGGTCAATCAAATGAATGGCATCAAGTAAGTGATTAAAGGTGAATGAATCATGAATCGAATCTATCAATCACCCAGTTATCTAAGCGTCATATGTTTTTTAACTGTTTATGTTCCGAGTGGAACATAGGGTTTCAGTAGTGGTACAGATTTTGCTTACACAGTGAAACTGCTAGCCTAACTACCTTCCATTTGTTACGGGTCTACTACCTACCATCTAAGTGAGGTTTCAGAGTTCGTCACCAGATACATAGTAGGCCAGGGTTCGATACCCCCCATTGACACACTCAAAAACCCCGCCTAGTTTACTCTCCAGTAGGAAAGCCGTAGGAGAAGGAATGTTTGAAGTGAGGTAAGAAACTCCACCAAACGGCATAAACAACAACAGCAACAACACTGTTGTTAATGAAACATCATCGTATTATTCATGACCCGCTTTAACGTTTCATCTTATAGTATACACCACACTCACTTGGTGATGACGAATCGAGCACTTGTGTGTGTGCGCCTAAGTTCCACACGTATATTACCATAAATGGTAATCATGAAAGCAAGTAAATTCTCATAAAACTGTACACCACTCATTGATTGAGATGCGTTGTTGCATGCCACTTATACCAACCAGTAGTAGTGCCTGCTAGGCAGCCAGCCACATCGAGATGATCTAAACACTGGACGGCCGTTTCGCTCGTTTGAGATCGAGCTCATCACCGGTGTACCTAGCCGGTTTCGCTCACCTCACAGAGCAAAATCAGTTCAAGCCATCCAACCACAACAATTATGACAGCTCAACACTTTCTCATTCATCGCCAGTAGGCAGTCTCTACCCCCGCCGACATGGCTGAAACAGACGCTCAAGGACACTTCACGAACTGTCGCCATGTTTTTGTTTGGCCACAATCAATCCTCTTCCAACTCAGTTTTATTACACCTAAAACCCCACATAAGGAAGGAAGTGACACGAAAAATCAGTGAGTCATACACATTCTAACAATCTTAATCAATGTTACTTCGCAAACTCTATACCCTATCTTTCCCACTCACAGCATAACACTGAACCTTATTATTACTGGCTATATTATTAAACTACTTTACACCTCAGCTATTCATAGTCGAAAGCGCTTGACTCTACTTGAGTAATTGACTGACTGGTACGTACGTACGTCAGCTAGGTATCAACACATGATCAAATCTTGGCACAATAGCAGAAAATTCTCCTTATTCATCATCAATTAAATTTCTACAAAAGCCCTGATCCACATTAACCATGGATACACTCACTTACTCTATGATCAATTACATGAGAAATATAAAATTTATTCTTATCATCATTGAGAATTTCTTGTGCTTTTTCTCTTCTCTTATGACTAAAATCATCTTTCCCATGATGATGATGCTGATGACGCCAGGAGATATTTTCATTTTTTTCCTCTTGATTGATTTTAACATTTGCTACAGGATACGGCAACAGTATATCATTATCATGTATTGTTGATGTCCAGAAGTCACCTGGGCGAATATTTACAAATAAAAAACAATCGGTCAATAATAAGACATAGGATCAATGAGAAAAGTCTCCCAAAATTGTACTAAATGTCAATTAATGTTGTGTGATCATATTATGGTCATGCGTAATGAATCAGAGAGTGAATGAGTGAGTGGGTGTGTGAATGACATATCTATCTGGTCCGCGTTCTACCGACCAACCAATCAAAATTTTCTTCATACTAAGCTTGATCGATAGTATCGGGCAGCGTCACAGACAGCCAATCGAATTTACGCTATTTGATAAAGCGCCCACGCACATATTGGGCCAGAATTCAGTACTACTACTACTAATACTACCTAACACAGCTGGTAATATTAGTCACAGTTTAGTGAGTCCGGTTGTTCTGTTATGATGAGCAAGTACATCTCCAACTAATCTCTCTCTCAGTGTGTTTCCACCTTGGAATTATCAATCGACTATGTGAATCGAGTACGTTTGGTGAACACTCCACCTTCCTGCATACCTCTGATTAAAACAGCTGGTATATTTTACCGACGAGTAAACAAATCAATTAACTATTGAAGAAGAATATATCTTTAAGGTGAGCATAAACATAACTTAAAAATTAACTTCATAAACTATAAGCAAAAACATTCCATATGAATGACAAAATTCTCAAAATTGGAAATAATTCAGGCGTATACCAGAGAAGTAGGCCAAAATGGAATTGGGTTATCATGAAGCTAGTGTGAATCAAACAATACTGCAACAAACATGCAAACTAGCAATGCTCCTTAACATTTTCCCTCTAAGTAGCGAATACGACTTGTTGTTTACAGGATTTTGTCATGAGCTGATATGGTTAGAGAGCCGTTGGAAAACCTGGGAGTAGTGGACAGCTGTTTCGTCCTAGTTTGCGACTCTCCATCAGTACACACCCACCACAGGGGTCCGAACCCATAACCTTCTGGTTACAAGGCTAGCGAGTTCGTGGACCACTAAGCCACTAAGACCCGATCCAATGGCCAGCCCATGAATTCTAACTACTGCCAATTCACGAAATAGCGCTACCGCTAGCCAATGTCATCCGTGGCGAGTATTTGTCTTCACACCCGACCTGTTGCACCTTATTGGTTACGATCAATTGTCAGTTGAACCTGTTTGTCTGTCTATCTGAATGAATGAATAAGTGTAGTGTTAGAAATAAGACGACAAATTATTGTCTAACAATACAGGTAACTTTCTTTACTCCATTATTGATAAGATTCTATTTTGATGAAATCACACATTGTCATACAGTAATATTAACTGATGACCACGTTTTGAGCACAATTCATTACTACTGCTCATAATCATATCAAGTCACTCATACAACTTTTTTCCTTCATTTATATACATGAATGAAACTGATGATTAGACATTTTCGAATCTTTAAATGTTCCCATTTATAATATTAGAACAAGATATATAAGCGAACAATATTGTTTTCAGTTAGATCTTCTTCAGGCTTTACTCCAATTTACATAGACTTGTATATAAAGTTTTAACCAATGACGGTGATTTTGGGAATCAAATAATAATAATAATAATAATAATAATAATAATAATAATAATAATAATAGTGTGGTAAATGTTTTGAACGAAATTAATAACGATGATTATAATGATAGCCCTAAGTTCCTATTGTAACGAAGACGATCTGAACCGATTATTAATAAGGTTTATGCAGGTGATAAGAATAACAAAGGTAGTATGTGTATATATGTGTATATGTAGACAATTCAATAAATAAATAAATTAGGTCAAATCTTAAAAGGTGAAGTGGAACGATGATCAGAGTTTAAATAAATATTATAAAAGTATGGAGGAGATAGAAGATAAGAAAGGGTGGGAGGGTTTTGAATAGAATTCACCAAGGCCAAGGGAGAGACAAAGGTAGAAAAAACTTCTTTTGTATGCAAAGACTAGGATTGTTCTCTCTAATTCCCATAGCTTCGGATAGGTGTAAAAGACGGGTTCTGATTCCATTCGAAAGACTCGATGGAATACGATAGATAACTTTGAAGGCACTATTTTTGTCCACTTGGTGACCGCTATCAATCAGATGAGCCAAAATAGAACTTCGTATGGATTTTACTTGGCCTTTTCCGAACCATGAAGGAAGATTCTCATTAATGCGTTTGTTAAGCTGTCTATTTGTTCGCCCTAAATAGCTTTCTCCACAGGAGCAATTATATTTGTAGATACACATAGAAGTGGCACAACTAGGTAGCTTATCTTTCACTTGACCCGACCGATAGATGCTACCTTGACGTGGTGGTCGGGCTTGCATATCGCAATGACCCAACGAGCTACACTGGCTGGAAGTCGAATGAGTTTATTGATAAGTCTTCGTACAGGAAGACCATAAGTCATATTAATATATGTGTAAAACTTGGGCACTGTGGTAGTAAGTAATTCTATATTAGTTTGTTTATTAGGTATATCACACAGTGAAACAGTATTAATACTGTTTCACTGTGTGATATACCTAATAAACAAACTAATATGGAACACTGTCTGGAACTCATGTTCCTGTAGGTCCTACCATGCCAGAAAGGTTGTTTGGATAGCGGTTAGACAAAAAGCAGCTACCCAATCCAATACTATGATTCAAACCAATTCACAAAACAGACAGACAGACAGATCTTTCACTGGAGCAATCAAAATTGGTCGTCTGGATTAGACATTTGAGTAAAGATCAATATAAGATAAAGTATATTCAAAAATAATAATAATAATAATATGAGTGTTGAAATAATAGAGAAGATTTGTAGCTCAGGTGGATGATTTGCAATTAATAGTGTTCTCTGAGCTGGTTGGTTTAGTTGTGAAGCTTTCGTCGTCCTTCTGGACAACGCAATTATATCACTCATGAAGAAATTTAAATCAGTTCACTTTGTGCTAAATATGGCGCTGAAGATGTTGTCTAGAAGGACGATGAAAGCTTCGCAACTAAACCAACCAGCTCAGAGAACACTATTAATTGCAAATATGAGTGTTATCAGTAAAATACAGTCAGATGGGAAGGGAAATAAGATGTTTTTATAGTCAAAATAAATACATAACTTGCTAGAATGTTCTGATGTATGTGAATTGAAATAGAATTTTAAGATTATTTATTATCCTCCTGTGATTTGACTGACTGGTAATAATATCTTCCATATCTCTGGTATGTCATTTCTCTGAGTCATTTCTGTTACATGTGTTGGCTGTGGACTACTCGATGAACCAGGATTCAGTAATCAGTATCTCTCTCAACCTACGTAGATTACTCTTTACAATTGTGACTTTCCCACCCACCGTTTTGTGTAGTTGTGTGCGAATGCATGCAGGGAAACTGTTGGGTTCCTTTTTCTAAATTGCTTATCTTCGTGGAATCAGTCATTTGAAACCCTAGCTAAATTCTTATATTCTGATAATCTCACTACCCCGCCCCCATCTACTAGTTTGACCTATGCAGTTGACTTAACTCACAGTCATTGCAAGGTATTTTGTAAATTATATTATTTTGTTTGGTTGAGTCCACTGGGTCTTTAAGCCTGCAGAGCTTGTCTCTGAGTGAGTTTGTAGGAGGGTTTGGATGCCACCTTAATTCCTGCTTTATTGAGAATCCTACGTAGGGCCTCAGATGTCCACTCCTTATGTGGTAAAACTACTGTAGATGCCTTATATTCTTTCTTATTTGTTATCATTATTAGTTTCACCATTATTTTTATTTTACTTTTGGCCTTTCCTGATCTTCCTAATGAATTTTAGGGGATAGTTAATCAACACCAACGCTTCTTCTATCTGTTTTATTTCATCGTTTAGGTCTCTTTTTGTGCTACTCAATGCCATTGCTCGGTTTGTTAAACACTTAACTAAGCCTGTGTTAACAGACAACGACGGATGAGATGAATTAAGGTCTAAATATCTATCACCAAAGTGCGTCGGCTTTTTATAAACGCTAGTGTGCAGTTTTCTTTCTTCTAATCGTTTTATTTTACAATCTAATTTCATAGCCAATTCTCCTTGTTCATTTTCTGATTCAAATGTGAATTTTATTCCTTCTACTAGTGAGTTTATATGTGTCAAGAAACTAGAGATATGTTCTGTTTTTAACACTGTGAAGGTGTCATCCACATATTGCTACCATATTTTGGAGTAGGATTAAATGTATTTAGAGCAACATTTTTTGCACTGCATACATTAACAAACAACCACACAAAAAGGTGGGTGGGACAGAGTCACAATTCTAAAGAGTAATATAGGTAGGTGGGGAGATAGAGAGGTAGATTAGTGAATCCTGGTTCATCGAGTAGTCCACAGCCAACACATGTAACAGAAATGACTCAATGCAAATACCAGAGATATGTATGGAAGATATTATTACCACCAGTTAGTCAAATCACAGGAGGATAATAAATAATCTTAAAATTCTATTTCAATTCACATACATCATAACATTCTAACAAGTTATTTATTTATTTATTTTACTATAAAAACATCTTATTTTCCATCTCATTGTATCTTATTGATAACACTAATAATATTATTTTTGAATGTACTTTATCTTATATTGATTTTTACTCAAATGTCTAATCATCAATTTCACTCATGTATGTAAATGAAGGAAAAAAAGTTGTGTGAGTGAGTGACTTGATATGATGATGAGCAGTAGTAATCAATTGCGCTCGAAACGTGGTTATCATCAGTTAATATTACTGTATAACAGACACTGTGTGATTTATCAAAATAAAATCTTATCTATGATCGAGTTATACTCTACCAGCACAGTGGCCAAGTTTTATACTTGTATCAACTTTTGTTTTACTGTTTAATCGATATGCATATCATGCATATGAAACTAGGCTAGGCACAAGTAACAAGATCCAAATGTTTAACACTAGTGTCAAGTTAAGTGTTACTTTTGAATAACTAACTGACGGAAATGCTGCGTGCATCCGTCACCAGAAGCATTCTCAACAGTCTGCTGAAACACACATTCACTTTCACACTTGCCACCTTTTCTGACTCGATACCGAAGTCCAGATCATCAGCCAGAAGGCCGTGGGAGGGGAAGTGGATCAAGAATATCTGGCAGTCGACCAGTTTACAACCTACTACCAAGCAAAAATAGATGCGATGAAATGCAGATGGATGAACTGGACACACTCTAAACAAATATATAAATAAGACAACACGTCAGGTAGGACCTGGACGGGAAGTGACGAACTTGGTATGAGTTCGACAGTGACTTAGGGAAGATAATGTGAAGAGCGAATTATGAAAGCTTTTAGGCAATAGTCGAGTAGGAGCCACAACTGGAAGTAACAGCAGAAAACCGATTCCAATTGAGATTTGTCGCTGAGACTGTAAATTCCACTCGGAACTCAAGAGGTAAATGAATAAGTTACAGAAGAATAATTATTAGTAACATTCCTTTAGGTTCGAGAAGGAGCATAGGTCTTCAACAGCACATCTTTGCTTGATCCTGTTCTCTGCATTCCTCTTTAGCTGGCTCCACAATGACCTATAAGCTCTCATCTCCCCATTAACTGTGCCTTCCATGCCAAGTTTTTCATTGACACGTGGCATCATACATCGTATATAGACAAACAGCGAGTTGTTGAATGAGATTGATAAAAATGTGGGCAGTGGACTCCACGCGGACTGTCGAAGCAGTTTCCGAATCGCATTACCATCAACGCCAACCAACAGCTTTTCACAAAATCGATTCATTTGAAGAAAAGCATTGGTCAGTATTCTATGCTCTGTTCGACCACGTAAGCGACGACAATGATGATGATGTATACATAGCATTGCAATTCAATCCACACATAGTTTTTTTTTCCTTCATGTTCCCCAGTGGAACATAGGGCTTCAAGCTAATGGCTTGAAGTTTCTTTAGCAGTGTTTTTTTACAGGATGGGGTTGCTAGCCTCATGCCCAACCTTTCCTCCTTACCAGCATTATTTCTGGCTTAGCGAGGTAAAGGAGTGCGCCGGCGGGGGATCGAACCCTGGACCATGTGCATGGTCGGCGAGCGTCCTAACCGCTATACCACCGACGCATAATTTAGTTTTCCTGAATTAAGGTAGTTCGGAGTGGAGTTTTGTATGCAGAGAATCTTTCGGTTGGTCTTTTTTTTCAAGAGGACAAACACAATCACTTACCTTTATCATCTGCCTCTTTTAAGTTGAAGAAATCTTCCCCTTGCATATCGCCAACATCCCCATCATTGACATCATCATGTAATGGATTATAAACAATATGACTTGACGAATTCACTGATAAATCATTTGTTTTCGATTGCCCTGATGTTGAACAACTATCTTCAGCGGAATCCGAATCAGAGTAATTAACTAATTCATCCTAAAAATAAAAAAATCAAACAATAATTCAATAAAGAATTTAGCCGAAATAAAAAATTGTCAATTTTTAGAAGTTATTCTCAGGAAATAATTAATAAATTTCAAATGTTAGTTTGGTAAGGATTTTGATTGATTTGAAGTTTCATCACCACGAATTGATTTCAGTTAGCAAACAAGTAAGTGTGACGAAAAAACACCCACCCTGTTTCGTCCTAGTCTGGGACTCTTCAGCACTGAAGAATTCAATGGAAAACGGACCCAAGACCTTCTTGTTACAAGGCCAACCTGGGACAGAATCCAGGAGCCACCTCGTGAACTCTAATATCTATCAATTCGCGATAATATGTGTATTACTTTGGCCAGTGAATGTCATCGGCAAGGATTTGTCCTCACACCTGTCCACCAGGTGGTCACGACTAGTCCCTAGAACTCCAAGCGACTTCATTCTGTAGTCAGTCACTAAACTATACTGGATTAATTTCCAGGAGTGTTAGTTTGTAGGGACCTGATTGGTTTCAAGTCTGATCACGTGCTGATATTAGTTAGAGAAATATTGATCTGCGAGACGTACTACGACAAAACAGCTATCCAGTACTCAATCTGGTTTTCAACGACCGTCTAACTGATATTAACCCGTGACCAAATGTGAAGCCAATCAATATCTTAGAAACTAACATTTGTGCTGTACTGTAAACAGCAGAAGATAAGAGAATTGGTTGGGAATGGAAAAACACACACATATTTATGCATTTTTAACCAGAATAAAAGTCGGCTAGGATTGGTGGACGATAAACTGTTCTGATTGGTTGGTGATTTGTCCAAGGTTAAACAAAATGGAAGAGAAGTTATCCAATGAGATTATTCCCGGACCACACCGTGAACTGAATCCAGATTTGAAGAATGAATATTTCTGCAGTGCACTTTGAATTGTTGATATTAGATGGTCGGAGGCAATCGGAAGTAAGCCTTGCCCAACCTGTGTTGGCTTGGTTGGCACTCACCAGTAGTCAGCGAGGCGTATCTACAGCCTTGAAGGAACTCATATCCTTTCTGGGATTCAAAGCTGCGTCACTCAGTACAGTAGTCAGATCACAAGCCTAAACACCTCAGTGGTAACGTCTCTAAATGCAGCACACTGAGTGGTGCAGGTTCAAATCTCACAAGGGATATGGGTTCCTTCAATGTTGCACATACGCCTTGCTGATTGACTGGTGAGTGCCAAGCCAACTAGCACGAAACCTAGGTCACGCAAGGCTTCCTGTGGCCAATTGCCTCCAACCACCTATTGTCAACAATTTAAAGTGCACCGTGATGGGCTGAGCCACCTAGTGGCATGGTGGCCACATTGCAAACTTAACTAACTGATAGAATTCAGTCTGCACCAACCAAACAAAGTATTAGACACATTACACTAGTTACTGGCTAGTGTCCAATCAAAACATTTCCACCTCTGCAGCAAGGTAGCCAGCCAGCCAGCTATCGACTAAAAACGCTGATCGCTTATCATTCTGATCACGCCACAGTTCTCTACACTATTTTACCGGTAGACTACAGATGTGTCCTTCCTTGAGAGCGTAAAATTTAATTTGTTAAGTCAATAATGAATACAGTGAAGAAGTTAAGCTGTTGTTTGATTTCACAAATAAGAAGGAATTTACACCAATTGGAAAAGAATTTTTCCAAGAAATCTTTTAATTATTGACTTTGACAAATATACATGTATAGTGAAAAAATCAATAAGATTAATATTATTATTATCCTTAGTTAAGGTCGTATATGTAAAACAGTTAAAGTTATGTCTTTAAATTTTTTTCTCCACTTACTTACTGTTGATTCGTTTTATTTTTTTTCCTTCACGTTCCCCATTGGAACATAGGGCTTCAAGCTAGTGGCTTGAAGTTTCTGTAGCAGAGTTTATTTTTACAGGATGGGGTTGCTAGCCTCATGCCCAACCTTTCCTCTTCACTAGTATTATTTCTGGCTTAGCGAGGTTAAAGGAGTGCGTCGGCCGGGGATCGAACCCCGGACCATATGCATGGTCGGCAAGCGTCCTAACTGCTATGCCACCGACGCACAGATTCGTTTTATACTGGAGTGAAATGTTCATTCTCTGTGTTGAACATGTCAGCGCTACTAGTACGAACATTTCGGCAACGTCTGTGGATTATTACGAAGCAGTTTGGAGTGCGGTGGTGCCTAGCAATGAAATCCAGAGTGTGCATTTCGTCCTATTAGGGGCTCGTCAACTGGATGTACCTTCAATAAAATGGTGTCCTCATGGTCTCATTAGATGAAACGATTAGTGCTGGGTTCGAGTCTCTCAGTGGGAACATCACGATACTCACTGGTGGTGAAAAGGGAGTGGCCACCGCGGCGATTGCAGGTGTACCCAGGCGATGAGTCCCAAATAGGACGAAATACGCATCATGGATTCCACTGCTAGGTCACTCACTATCCACCAACCGACTACTCATTATGAATGGTTTGCATTTTGTTTGAACACTGACCTTCCGCTTAATAAGTTATATAAGTAGAACTTATTAACATTGTTTATTAACATGTGTTTCTGTGTTAACAAAAATCGTGTTGAGGCATTGCAAGTATGACAAAATTCTACGTAGATTTACATAATCAATTCTTAGGTTGTAAGCAGATGAAGAGGACCCGAAGACGAAATTTTTAAAAAATGATGGCCTCATATTATTCTGTGTAAACATTTGGTTTTGCTTTTTGTTTAGATTTATAAAGGGGAATAAATGCATGGAACCATATGCTTTTAGAACTGCAAGTATCCCAGTGGAGCATTCTACACCTCCCTGAGTGACTGGCCAACACCAACTGTCAAAGACTTCATGGATAAATGACAGATTCTGGTTGGACCATCCCTCATCCGACAGCGTTGACCGAGAAGTAATTTGGATTCTACTTCAACACTGCGGTGTGCAGTGCTCAAGTCTTTATCAACTTCATTCAACAGCTGGCTATATGACAATGCCCGCCACGTGTCAGGTGATCCACAACGGAAAACTCCGCGACACTTTTGAAGTGAATACAGGAGTAAGACAAGGCTACCTGCCCACAATCACCGATGATATTCTAAATTGCAGTGGACTGGATTATGCGTAAGACTGTACACAAGGAGCGAGGAGTCAGGTATACCCTGGACGTTCACTTATCTGCACAGCTTCATCTCAAATATAGGCGACAGCTCCGATGGGAATGTCAGAGCCAGCCAGTCAGAATCGGAAATGCAAGATACGCCTTCATCCACCTGAAACCAGTTTGGTAATCTTCTACACTCAACATAAGGAACAAGATTCGCATTTTCAACACCAATATCAAGTCGGTCCATCTATACGGGTCAGAAATTTGGCGTGTAATGAAAAGGATTTCCAACAGCCTGTTGCAGATGGCGAAATTTATTTTGCTTTTTATTTACATTTATAAAGGGGAATAAATATATGAAATCACTCGTCTTTAGAACCGTAAGGATCCCAGTGAAGCAGTCTACACACCTCCATAGGTGGTTGACTTACACCAAATGTCAAAGACCTCATGGATGGATGACAGATTCTGGTTTGACCATCGCTAATTCTTTTCCAAATTAATTCTATTGTAACGACAGAAGGCAAGAGTCAGGCAACAGATCATTTATTAAGGAAATCAACGCATATTTATATATTTTCATGTACATTATTATAGTTTAGTTAAGCAAACAAACACAGTCTTCTGATTGGTTGTTTCTCACTTAAAGTTAATCTTTCATCTCTTTGTGACTGTTTCTTGAATGTCAGATCATCTATATGTTAACTGCATCAGCCTACGCAAAGTCTGCTGTGGTCGGTTTTGAATCAATCTTTGTTCACATTTTCTGACGACCAATCTTGAGAACGTAAATATTGACGTAAATTACTGTCTACCAATTTGGCTAGTAGACAGCTCTCACCACACTATGTCAGCTAACATTGCTCCTTGAAGAAGGCGTTGCTACAGGAAGCATGGAATACCACTTGTCCTAGCCATCTCAATCGATGTTACTTTGCAACTGCATCGATTGACTTTCCCTCCTTGGTTAATACTTTCAACTAACCCCAATATTATTACTTAACACGCTCAACCATTTTACTCCCTATCTTCAAATTGGGCATCCATATAGACCAGTCCTTCAAAATCATCTTACATATGATATGAACATATTGTATGCTAAAGACTGGAATATTTATGCTCCTGAAGGTGTTGAGAGGACTCTCCGTTTTGCCAGCATCATCATCCCTTCGGAGAACGACAATTTCATTCGTATAGTCTAGATCGATGAGACTTTACTTCCAAAAAACATGTCAATCCTCAAGTAGTTAAAGTCAATTGGAGCCACATCCACTAGTACATCTACCAAATGCAGTATGTTTCCAGCTTCGTTATGCTGCGGCAGCCCTCACCATTATTATTATTATTACTGTTCCCGTGGGCTCCTAGTGGAACATAGGGCTTCAACTACATGTCTCCACTTGCTTCTGTCTTCTGCTGTACTTTTCACTTGCATCCATGTTAATAGATGTTGTTTCAACTCCTCTTCACACGATCTCCTCCATGTGACCCTTGCACTGACGTCCCACTCGCCGCTTCCCTTTCGGGTTCCACTCGAGCTATGGCCTGACGCGCGATGTCACCCAGGGGCCTCCTCAGCGAGTGTCCAATCCATCTCCACTTTCTCCTGCATATTTGTTGGGCGATTGGTTGTTGTTTTGTTTGTTCCCATAGTTTCTTGTTGGTTCTTGTCCTTTCCGGCCATCTGTTCTCCACTATAGAACGAAGACAGCTGTTGATAAAGGTCTGCAACAGGCTGTTGGAAATATTCTTTGTGACTCGCCAAGTTTCTGATCCGTATAGAAGAACTGACTGACTTGACGTTTGTATTGAAAATCCGAATTTCGTTGTTGATGCAGGCTGAGTGACGAAGATTTCCAAATTGGTTTCAGGTTGATGAATGTGTTTTACTCGCCTTCGCGATTCTCGATTTGACATCTTCGTCCGTTCCTCCTGTAGTTGAAACAATGCTGTACATCACACACACACACACCGGGTCAAGATCTGTTTGGTTCCATAGGTGTCAAATTTTCTTCTATCCTCTTCAATTTCTCATCTTCAGTAATAGAAAAGTATTATTATTTCAATCTGTTTCTATGCTCATCTTGTTTGCACATGTCTTCACTAAAACCTGTTTTACACAAAACAGCTCTATTTTCTAATCCTGTGTAATTTTGTTTCTGCCTTCCCTGTGATGATCTATACACTCAAACTTTGGTGGGGAGTTGAAAATGATCTTCCTTCGTTATTATGTTGAACCAAATAATATTAATAATGATAATAAAATTAATTTGATGCTTACTGGCCCTACTCATCATGTGGGCAGCTACCTGAGTTCTAGTGGGAAGTCTTGACTAGTGGGGTACAGCAGGTCGGGTGTGAGGACAAATACCAGCCGGCGATGAGATTGGTTAGTGCCAGTGGTGCTCTATCGTGAATCGGCAGAAATTGTAATTATTGGGCTGGCCATTGGATTGGTGGGTCCAAGTGTTTTAATGGTCTACGAGCTCGCTAACCTTGTAACCGGAAGTCCTGGGTTCGAACTCCTGTAGTAGGTGAGCACCATGTGCTGAAGAGTCTAACACTAGGATGAAACAGCTGGTTGTCGGGTACTCCCAGATGGTTTTCTCATGGGTCTTTATATGATGCTGATGTCAGCTCGTGATGAAATCCTGTAACTAATCAAGTCAAACCCCTGCAAACCAACGCTTGAATAATAATTATAACCATGTGAACTTTGGTATATAAAATCAAATTGTACAGATTTTCAGGATGAGATTGTCATAATGACATCTTTGCTGAGCTTCTTGTTCTTGTCTCCTTCCTTCTGTCTGTCTATCTATCTATCCATCTGTCCAATGTCCTGATGAGTATTTCCCACGATTTAAAAATCGATGTAACTCAAACCAGTTGTTATTGTCAGAGTGTGTTATGCCACAATTGAAGTAGACAGATCACGTCTTGTTCTTTTTGTATTCGTAGCAATCTATGTATGAGTCATTTGTACTTAATGCGCGAAAACTGATAACAAGACTACTCCAGTTATTCAGACTAACATGAACAGTAATAGTGTGGTGAGAGCTGTCTACTAGCTAAATTGGTGGACAGTAATTGACGTCAATGTTTACGTTCTCAAGATTTGTCGTGAGAAAATATGAACAAAGATTGATTCAAAAACCGACCACAGCAGACTTTGCGTAGGCGGATACAGTTAACATATAGATGATCTGACATTCAAAAAACAGTCACAAAGAGATGAAAGATTAACTTTAAGTGAGAAACAACCAATCAGAAGACTGTGTTTGTTTGTTTAAATAACCATAGTGATGTACATGAAATATATAAATATGCTTTGATTTCCTTAATAAACGATCTGCTGCCTGGCCCTTGTCTTCTGTTGTTACAATAGTAGGTGGAGCAAGATTGGAAGCGCTAAAACCACGATGAGTCACCACATCTATATTGATATATAGAGAAATTCTTTCTAACCCCTTTGCCTTCCCCACCCCTAACCCCCCCAAACACACACAGTATTCTTACTGAGAAGAAAAATCTCAACTGCTAAATTAACTTTTATTAATGGAACTATTGTTAAAAATTTGTATTAGTCAGATACAACACAGTCACACCAAAACAAAAGTAACTATAATTATGTTCTGAATATTCCACCAGACTAGATAAAATTTCTTTCAATGTTCTCATCATAATGTTCATTATAGATGATTGACAGTGGTAAGATGATTGTAAGTATGCATTTTTCACACTAAGCGAGACTAATCGATATGATGTAGTAGTATGTGGTAAGCACTCGTGATATCATATTAAGACTAATTAACATATATGTTAATTTTAGACAAAAAATAAATATTACTACTAAATTATACAAATAGAAAGTCTGACTAATGAAATTGTGTGTGTGCATGTGTACGAGGACGGTTATTATTCTCCGACTGTCCACACCATGGAAGTTGGCTATCTGAGACAGAAGGAGGGCATTAATGTTGAATATAACCTCAGAGCCCAAGAGATAATTGCTTCAGGTCGATCACACATGACACGTTTGACGGGTCGCTGCCGGCTACAGACCAGTGGGGACCGAACTGTCATCAATTAGAGAACGACTGAAAACTACCAGGGAGTGTACTGAACAGCTGGCTGCTTCATCCTAGCTCAAACTCCTCATCAATAGGATTTTTAGGTTACGAGGCCACTTGCGTTAACCACTCAGCAACTCAGACAGAATTCGATGGTCCATCACCTCGAATTTCTACCAATAATCGTGATATGCATAAAACAACCACCAGACAATATTGTCGGCAAGTGGTTGTCCTGAACCTCGACACTGGTATATCCAACTGATCACAGCTTGTCACTAGAAGTTCAGGCAACTTCATTCTGTACAGTCAGTCACACTGCAAGAAAACATACTGCATTAAAATAATGCATGGGACCATGTGGAATGATACTGAGGACTGTTCAGATTGAAAGAGAAGATGCAAGAACACTCGTAATAATAATAATAATAAGGGGAAGGTATACAGACTAGCTAAATAAACAAAATGAAAAATAAATAAATGTTTATCCCTCTTTGGTCAAGGTAGAAATAGAGACTTCTTTTGTACACAAATATCTGGCTGGCTTAAATTCTTGAATAACCAAGGCCTCGGATGTCTTTAGAGATTTAGAATGAAGAAAACGTGACAAGTTACCATGAATTCGATAGATGGTCTTAAAATTATGATCGGGGTTTTTGTAGAGTAAGAATAGAACTTCTCTCTCTCCCCTGCAAAACGATATGCTGGAATGCGCTCTTGAGTATCCGTGTGGAAAACATACCCTAGTTATATAACTGGTATATATCTTGCTGCAGAAGAGGAGGGAAACTGATAGATGTGTAACGACAGAAACAAGGGCCAGACAACAGATCGTTTATGGAGAAAGTCAACAGATATTTATAGATACTTACTATCAGCGTTATTGTTAGCAGAGAAGCAAAGTCTTCTGATTGGGTGCTTTCTTGCTGAAGGTTATTATGTACTGCCTGTGACCGTTTCTCAGAAAGTTAAGCCATATATCTGCGAATCGTATTTGCACACGCTAAGTCTGTCATGATTGGTTGTTGAGTTATTGTTTTTTTCTCATGATTTCGATTCGGGACGTAAACATTAACATAAATTGTTGCCTACAATTTTGGCTTGCAGACATCTGTCACCACAGATGTGTTTGGTTTTCATACTAATGCTAATTATTTTACATCCCTTTCCAAGATTAATACTTTCTACGGAATATTCTATATATATCTTATTATTTATTTTATCACTTGATTTATTTTTGTCATTTTATTCCTTTACGTTCCCAGTGGAACATAGGGCACCTTCAAGCTAGAGGCTTGAAGTTTCGGTAGCAGTGGTAGTTATTTTAACGGGATGGGGTTGCTGGCCAGCCTCACGCCCAGCCTTCCCTCTTTACCAGTCTTATTACTGGCCTAGGGAGGTAAAAGGGTGAGTCGGCCGTGGATCGAACTCCAAACCACGTGTGGTGTGGTCAGTTAGCATTCCACCGCTGTGCCACCGACGCACTTATCGCTTGATATTGAACTATAATTATTATCATACATTTTAACCACACTTCACATAATTAATATTATTATTATGAGTATTTACGCCTTTTATTTAAATTTCCTCACCTGATATAAATTTCTTAAAAATCATTTTCGTTATAAAAAGTATATATATGTATATATAGGAGCACAGTTTGATAATAAGTTCCTTGAGAAGCTCTTCACTGAACATCGTGTTCTGTAATATTACAGTGTGGTGCTTTTGTAGTTCAGTGATAGGACGCGCACCAACCACGCACTTGTTCCGGGGTTCAATCCCACGCCAACACACTCTTCAACCTCAATAAGTCCCCAGTAAGCGAGATAAAGAGATAAGGTCAGGCTAGTGTGCGGCCAACAACCCCACCACATAAGAGATAAACACTACTGACCACTGAAAGTTTAAAGACTAAAGCTTGGAACCTTATATACGTTCCACACAGAACGCAGGGGAATGAAGAAAGAAAATATAGATAACTGAGCTCTCTAACACAATAATATATTTAATGTATAAACTCACAATATAACTTACCATTGATCAGATCATAACACCGGCATAGAACGAAATAATAATAGAGTACACATCGTTTCAGATGTTTTACTTCTGATAGATAGGCACCCCAAAAAAGAATTACCTGCCGCAGTTATTTAAGCCTGTAAAAGTAGAAGAAAAGTGGATGGAGGGGAAAGGAGAATATCTTAGAAATGAATTCAGCAAAATAGTGATTACTTAAACGTTAACGACAATTATGTCTGATAGCAAAGCTAGGAGAAAATAAACTTGATAAACATTGAACAGGCAAACGAAAAGAACACATTGAGCAGGATAAAACAATGACGTCATCGCTAGATTTCATTGGTTCTTTTCAGCTACAGACAAGCTCGAAAGACGTCATATATGACATGATATGGTATACGTAGGATATCTCAATGAGGTTGAAATTAGGGTATCATTTAAATCAGCTAACCAACCAGCTCTCTCACAGATAGACTTTATCGGCTTAAGGACTCACCTAATAGATCCAATTAAGAAAAAATATATACTCAGGTATTGGTTTGTAGGGATTTGATTGATTTGGTTATAGGATTTCATCATGAGCTGATATTGGTTAGAGAACCATTGGAAAACCACTAGGGGAGTACTGGACAGCCAGTTGTTTTGTAAGACTAGTTTGGGACTCTTCATCAGTACGCACCCACCGGGGTTCGAACCCTTGGCCTTCTGGTTACAAGGCAAGCAACCTCGTAGACCATTAAGCCACTGGGACCCGTCAATCCAATGGCCAGTACATGAGTTCTAACTTCTGCCAATTCACGACATAGCGCGACCGCTAGTCAATGTCTTCGGCGAGTACTTGTCCTCACACCCGACCACCTGCTGCACCCTACTGGTCACGAGTTCCCACTAGAACTCAGGTAACTACCTATCTGAATAGGGTCAGTTGCCAATGAGCATCTCATCGATATTCAAGTCTACAAGCTAGCTCGCTTTGTAACCAGAAGGTCCTGGGTTCGAACTTCAGTGAGGTGGGTGTGTACTGATGAAGAATAGCAAACTAGGCTGACGAAACACCTGTCCACTACTCTCAGGTTTAACAGTGGTTCTCTAACTGATGTCAGCTCATGATGAAATCCTGTAACTAAAAAAAAAATTTACCAAATACCATATAATGCCGACTGTGAGGTCAATTACATAGGTCGGTCATACTAATAGATGATCAGGGTCAACTAGATTATTGGGACATAGAAATTTAGCCAGCCAGACGTAGAATGATTGACGCTGCTAAGTTAAATAACAGAAAAAAACAGAGCTCAGTCCTTGCACTGGATTGCATTGCATTCACTTGCATGTAATCACACAAAGTAGGTTATGTAGGACAGGTTGAGAGTATTAAAAATTAATATAGTTAGGTGGAGACAGAGATAGACAGGCTAATCACTGAATCTTGGCCTATCGAATCAACAAAAGTCCTTAGCAGTGTGACTTCTCATCACTGGTTATACAGCAGTCGTGAAATTAAAGTATTCAAATCCTTTAAAATAATTAAAGTCCACGACAACTCCAGGTTGTTACACATCACTGAAGTGATCGCCACGTTAAATGATTAAAACCAAATTTATGAATGTAGAAGAAAAGTGCTACTAACTCTGCCTTACCCTGGAAAAAACTGATTTACGTTATCCAATTCTTCTAATTATATTTCGTTTTGACAATGTAATTTCCTACCGGAAATCTCGTCCTTATTTATATTCCTGACCAAAATATTTTTCACCTCTGTTCACCTAAATTATTTGATCTTCAGGCGTTGGTTTGCAGGGATTTCATTGGATACAGGGTTTTCATTACGAGCTGAAATCGGAGTACTGGACAGCTCACTGTTTCATCCTAGTTTGAAACTCTTTATCAATACTCACTCGACACCGTTTTAACCCAAGACCTCCTAGTTACAATGCGATACCATAGACCATTAGGCCACAGAAACAATAACCAATGGATCATGAATCCAATTTTCTGCCGGTTAGCGATATGTGGCGCAACTACCAGACAATTTCATCGCCAAGTAACTGTCCTCCTAGTGGACTTAGTGAATCCTGCTGCTTACGACTTCTCATTAGAATTCCGAGTAACCACGTGTATAGGGCCAGACCAGTGGTAATTTTATGATTCGTGAATTGGTAGGAATTGGAATCCATGGGCTATTGGATTGGCTCCCAGTGGCTGAATGGTCTACGAGCTCACTAGCGTTGTGACCGTAAGGTCCTAGATTAGAACCCAGGTGGGTGTGCATTGAAGAAGAGTCCAAAACCACGACGAAACAGTTGTACAGTACTCTGTAGATTCCCAGTGATTCTCTATGTGACATCAGCTCGTGATGGAACCTGTAAATTATCTTACCATCACATATGTGGTAGTATTTATTCTATACACCTATTCATTTGCAACATTCCTTTATCGTTCTAAAATATTCCTGAATCGTTTATTTCTATACAACCCAAGGAACTTATCAACGACTGTTACTCCTTTCTATTATGCTGTTTAACCACATGATAATAATATCCTCTACCCATATGATCAATAATTAAAGAGTGACCATCAAGAGCAGCTACTACACTCAAGATACAACAGTAAGGGACAATCAGAATGTTGACAATTCAAAACGAATTTGAAAAATGGAAACGACTGGATGTGAACCATCCATCGTTAGAGAAGCTTCAACAGACAAAAGATATTCAAGTGTTGGATTTGATTGGTTACAGGATTTTCATCATGAGCTGACATCAGTTAGAGAACCGTTGGAAAACCAGCTGGGATTACTGGACAGCTGTTTCGTCCTCGTTTGGGACTCTTCAGCAGTACGCACCCACCGGGATTCAAACCCAGGACCTTCTGGTTACAAGGCTAGCGAGCTCGTAGACCATTCATCAGCCACTGGGATCCGATCCAATGGCCCATGAATTCTAACTACTGCCAATTAGAATAAATGTTTCCGAATTCCCGCTCACTTCGACTGATTTTACACGGCATGTTGCAAAGTCATTCAAAAGACATCAGATTATGAGCAGTCAACTGGTATTTGGACATATCCACCCTAAGGCGTTACAGTAGCCTAGCAACATATCGGTTACTTTCACTTCCAGGCAATGGAAACTGGTTTCATGTGTCAAGCAAAGAACATCTCTATGATGAACTGAGACATACTTTGGAGGCAAACATTTAGGGCTAGTCTATTTGGCTGCTAATCTAATATATGGATTAGTCTATATAATATAATGGTCTAAATCATTATTTAAATTCGATTGATTGTCTTCCCTAGACAGCTGACAATGTCTTATTGTAAATGCTGTATGGTTGAGTTTTCCTGATGAATGAATATTCAAAATACAGTACTAAAATAGCGAGAATGTTCATTCAGACATCTAGAAAAGAAAAGAAAATAATTGAGCAAAGAATATCCTTTTCGATAATTTCCACTTCTGGCTGTACAATTATAATAATAATAATTATTATTATTGTTTCCTTTAATTCCTAGAGGAACATAGGGCTTCAGCCATGCGTCTCCATTGCGTTCGGTTCTCTGCTAGAGTCTTCACCTGGCTACAAGTCTGCCCACATGTTTTCATCTCCTCTTCACATGACCTCCTCCAAGTCACCCTTGCACTGATGACCAACTCGCCGCTTCCCTTTCGGGTTCCACTCGAGCAATGGCTTGTCTAGTGATGCCACTTGATGGTTTCCTCAGAGTATGGCCAGCCAATCCATCTCCATTTCTTCCTGCCTATTTGTTTCACGATCGGTTCCTGCTGGGTTGGTTCGCTCCCAGAGATCTCTGTTGCTGATCTTTTCTGGCCATCTGATCTCGAGTATTGAGAGAAGACAACTGCTAATGAAGGTCTGTAGTTTGTTTGATGTGCTCTTTATGACACGCCAAGTCTCTGATCCGTATAGTAGCACTGACTGACTTCATATTGGAGTTGAAAATCCGGATCTTATTTTTGATGCTGAGTGCTGTTGACCTCCACACAGACTTGAGAGTAGTGAAAGCCTGTCTTGCTTTTCCGATTCTTGCTTTGATATCCTCGTCAGTTCCGTCGGCCTGTAGTTGAAACGATGCTTCCCAGATCGGTAGGTAAAACAGGTTGTTTCTTTCAGGTTTCTTCCATTTATGCTGATCGTTGTCTGTTGTTGTTGTTGCTGTTGGTGGTGTTGCGCAGGATTCTTCATCACCTCTATTTTCTCTATGTTCACCTGAAGTCCTATCTTTGATGCTTTTTCTGCCAACTTGTTGCTTTTCGCTTGCATATCTTCCAGTTTGTGGGAAATCAGACATATATCATTGGCAAAGTCCAGAATCTCCACACCATGTACGAGATTGGCAAAGCTGTACCATTATATATACGTATGTTTATATACATATAATATTCTAGAATAGTAGTCAATAACAATATTAGTGTTTTTTAAATAATATCGATTTGTAAAGTAAGATCACAATGGAATTACAGCTCATTAAAGATGCTTAAATTATAATAATAATAATACAAATATAATAGCAAATAGAATATTAACTAAAATTCCACAATAACAAATTAAGGATCATTCGAACCTAGATGGCCAAAGTAAGGACAATGTCTGAACCAGCTTCTTTTGGACACATAAGTTAGGCTAGCCTCAGCAATATGTAGTAGACGAACTGTTAATGTGAAGTTGAGATTTGTTGGTATGCGGTAAATGACTGCTTCTGTGGAGCAAATGACATTGGCCGTACAATTAGGCGTGTTTCTCGTTGGATTTCCGAACATCACCCTGAATCGTTGGTTAAGGAAAGGACAAACAAAATCTATTCGCAGCGCTATTCTATGTCATCTTGTGGATACAGAACACAAGATTGATGTCGACGAGGCTTTCAAAGTCATCTACCACAGACCAATAAATCTCGATTTCGCCTTAAGAGTTTGACTACTAAATATTGTCGAGGCTAGCTGTTGGGATCCACTTTAAGAAGCGTAATTTATGCGTCCAAAAGAAGTTAGTTCAGA